TTGCCAGCCATTTGATCTGTGTTCTACATCTTAAGTGTTTTAGTAGTATAAACAGGATGTGGAAGAGACAGTGTTTGTGTGTGTTTGTTCGCCATCTGTATATTGTTTGTGCATGTCGGCTTTTGTTTTTTTCTTCATCATCAGCTCATATTGTATATCAAAGTATATTGTTATTTTTTTCCTTCGTAATAAAGTGCACAAATGTTAATGCTAGTTATCAGTGCAAGTTGGAGAAAATACACAACTCTTGCTAAGCTATAATATCTGCCCAACAAATGGCAAACACTCTGGTCAGAATGTGTTTTCTGATTATTTTTGACATATTGATCAACTCTGCCAATAAATATTCTCTGTTAAGGTCCCTGTAGTGTAGCATATCAAATTTTGCTTTGTGTTTTGATGTAACTTGGTTTTAAATTCAACCATCTGTCTCATTTGTAAATCTTGTCTCAGAATGCCACATCCTGAGCTTATTTTTCAGCAAAGTGAATTGTTTTATGAGTGTCCACAGAAAACAATGAGCCTTGAAAGAATGCTAATAATACGTTCTCAACTGTCTTTCAGATGCAAGTGTAATGGCCATGCCAGTCACTGCATGACCAATGAGGAGGGTAGTTTGGTGTGTGCTTGTGAGCACAACACTGCAGGGGTCGACTGTCAGCACTGCGCTCCCTTCTACCAAGAACGGCCATGGGCACGGGCCACCGCTGATTCAGCCAACCAGTGTGTGAGTGAGTACGGTCTGATTCTTTATCTATTGAAAATACCACACTTAGATGTTATGTATAATATATATATATATATATATATATATATATATATGAAGAGTTCAGATGCAAAAGCCTCTAAATGCCATTTGAAATTTTCTTCTTTAATGATGATTTTTATAAAACTTGTATATTTAAGTTCAGTAATTTTACTTAAATGGCAATGATAATTACCTATTAATTGTTATTGAAGTGAAATTACTGAACTTAAATATACAAGTTTGATAAAAATCATCATTAAAGAAGAAAATTTCAAATGGCATTTAGAGGCTTTTGTATCTGAACTCTTCATATATATATATATATATATATATATACTATATATATATATATATGAAGAGTTCAGATGCAAAAGCCTCTAAGTGCCATTTGAAATTTTCTTCTAGAATGATCATTTTTATCAAGCTTGTATATTTAAGTTCAGTGATTTCACTTAAATGGCAATGATAATTACCTATTAATTGTTATTTAAGTGAAATTACTGAACTTAAATATACAAGTTTGATCAAAATCATCATTAAAGAAGAAAATTTCAAATGGCATTTAGAGGTTTTGCATCTGAACTCTTCATATACTAACCTAAAGGAAGTAACGTAAGAGAACCTTTCTTTGTGCTTTTGTCACTTAACAAATCACATGTTCTTGATTTTATTGCATTTTACAAAATGTCCTTTTCTGTCCTTTTTCTTGTATATGCTCACACCATTCAGTAATTCAATCAAACAATGCATCGGTTAGCCTTTTAGCACAGTAACTAAGAAAGTTTCATTTGTGTAACGCGTTATATGTTTGTGTGCTGCAGCTGTCATGCGTCTCTGGTAAATACTTTAGGGGGATGCTGTAATTGGCAATTCTGACAAACCCATAAGCCGAAAAAAGCCATGTTAATTATTTTCATTCTGTATTCCACTAAGCTCCACGTTCCTTTAATTAACTTTCAGTGGTCAACAGATGGGTTTCTGTTGGTAATTGTTGTCCCTTCCCATCAAAGTGGATTTAATTTAATTTAATTTAGTTTTTGGTTTCAAAAGAAGTACTATCTGTTGGTGAGAAGGTGGAATCAACTGCAGATGCTTTCCATGCATGGTTGCTTTGCAAAGTTCTTCATCACAGACTGTGCCAAGTTTAGCATTTGCATGGCAGACCCGCAGAGCTGCCACCATATGCCTCTCTCGTAATGCCTCAAACAGATACGTTAATTGACTAAGGACGTCTTTTTTACCCTCTAGTCTGAAAGTGGAAAGAGACCATGAGACAAAAGATGAAAACCTAGCTTGTCAGCATAAAAAAGCTTGTTTGTTCTCAGTCATTTTTGATGGTTTGTTACCACAGCTTGCTTTTATATCTGTAATATAAATGGTTTGTTAAATTTTAATATTCTTCCTTGCATGGCTGCATCCATAAAAAAAGAGAAATTAGGCCAACCTAGAAATATTTATTCATCACATCCACACATATCTTATGCATATTTACTAAAATATTTATATACATGTTGCAACTACATGAAACTCACCATGTAGTTGCCTGAAATATGATTTTTTTTTTCTTGAGTTTGTTCCTAGTTCTTTTGTTGAACTAAGAAAGTATTTTAATGTCAAAAAATAAAATTGTACATTTCCTTTAATAAATATTTCTCCCTATCTGTTGTATGTCTCTTCTAGTATAATGGTGTGTAATCCTTCAATGGCAGCTCAAGAAACTGTGTCCCCTTAGAGAGTGATAATGTGATGGTTATTGCAGAGTCAATAGACTGACGAAACTGTAATAAAACGAGTAATGTCCCACAATGCCCCCTTTGGTGGCGGCTGCATAAAAAGCTGACTTGTGCGTTCTGGTTGGGTGATGTGTTGAGAAGAAGGGGCCTGTGGCAAGGGAGCTTATTAGGTTGTGTGTGTGTGTGTGTGTGTGTGTGTGTGTGTGTGTGTGTGTGTGTTCTAAGGCCTAATTAAACTGAACAAGCTGGTTTAAATGAATGTCCACTGCTATTTCTAATCAGTTTGATCTTTTTGTATCTTTTGTTTTGTTTCATCCATATCTTTTCCTCCACTTGTTTCTGTTACTTCTCAGAGTGTAACTGCAGTGGTCTTGCTGATGAATGCGTGTTCGATGCTGAGCAGTACCGCAGCACAGGAAGTGGGGGGCGCTGTGTTGGCTGCAGGGAAAACACAGCTGGCCCTCACTGTGAGCGATGTAGAGAGAACTTCTTTAGATCATTACCGCAACAGCCCTGCCAAGACTGCAACTGTAATGCAATGGGTGAGTTGCTTGTACATGCACTTAGTAAAGCAATTATTGTGCATTAGTCACACTCATGCACTAGTATCTTATATTAACCCATGTAATCAGACTTAAATGCTCTCTATCTCATTCTCTCATCATGCAAATGTATATTCAGTATATACTGCAGGTGCATATATGTGCATATATATATATATATATATATAGCCTACAGCTCTTAAGTAACTAGAGTGGAAAAAATAAGCCACACAAACACAAAGAAATTCAAACAGGGATTTTCTACAATAGGAGAACTAGCAATAGTTCTGTTTTTCCATCCAAAGTTGCGCAAAATTATTGTGATGGCATACTTTGACTCAGACATTTCAGAATGATCAAACCAACATTTGAGGTGCTGTGCAATGAAACCGGTCTGCTTGTTAGTCCAGTTATCCAGTCACATCCACAGTTGAGGCAAAGTCACGTGAGTTTTTGTTGCGCATGGAGGGACTTATTTGGTAAATGTACTTCAATCATAGTTCTATAATCCACCTAAAATGAGTGCATACGTTTTGGGTGCACATATTTAGAATTTATGTGCATCTTGGAATTTCAGTCCAACTTTTTTATGTGATATCCCAAAATGGTTAATGTGCAAGACTACAGGTGATAAATAAGGGGGAAATGTTTTATTTATTTAAACAACTTCAGATAGAATTTTAAATATGAATTTGCATTTAGATATTGCAATATTAATGATTTTAAATTCCCAGAATGCAAGGGGGAATAAATGCACTTTTAAAATTATTTGTCACTGTTTAATTACATGTTAATGGTGTTCGTCTTGTATCTGAAATATCTGATTTTGCTTCAGGTGGCAAAATGTGTGTATAAAATATGTTAAAATTTGCATTTATTAACCTTTATTGGAATAATTTGTAGACAAGGAAATCATTTTTAAATGCAACTGAAACCATCCATGTACTCATTAAAAAACCCAAAGGCTAATGTCTGTCAAAACCTGTCTTCTCTCTGTCTCTCTGCAGGCTCTGTGAGTTTACAGTGTGATGCAGAGGGAGTGTGTGTGTGTCGGCCAGGTGTGTCTGGTATAAAGTGTGACATTTGCAAGCCTGGCTTCCATTCTCTCGGCCCTGATGGATGCAGGTAATGAGAGCGAGAGTATCTCTACCAAGAATTTGTCAAATGAGGAAAAACATTTGATTCTTGGATGCAGAAATCTTCAAACATGTTTTACTAGTAGCTAAATTGGAAAGAAAGAAAGAAAGAAAGAAAGAAAGAAAGAAAGAAAAATTATATCCACCTGATGAGATTTGCACATTGCATATGCACACTCAATGATGCAAATAATAGTGTAATGCAAAAAAAAAAAAAAAAAAAAAACAGCAGAAAGGCAAACGTCAAACAAAAATTGTACACCCCACTCCACTTTCACATGGCCCATTTGTGTCAATGTTTTGGGGTAAAAATTTGTTGCTTCATTGGAGCGAAAAGTGAAAGAAAAGAGAGAAAGAGAGGTGAGAGGTTAGTAGGAGAATTATAGTTAACGGCAAGCTAGGTAAAACTGTGGTTTTAGGCCATGTAACAGATCATGAATATGTTTTCTACATATATATGAAGAGTTCAGATGCAAAAGCCTCTAAATGCCATTTAAAATTTTCTTCTTTAATGATGATTTTTATGAAACTTGCATATTTAAGTTCAGTAATTTCACTTAAATGGCGATGATAATTACCTATTAATTGTTATTTAAGTGAAATTACTGAACTTAAATATACAAGTTTGATAAAAATCATCATTAAAGAAGAAAATTTAAAATGGCATTTAGAGGCTTTTGCATCTGAACTCTTCATATATATATATATATATATATATATATATATATAATGTACACCCGACAGAGCAGTTCACCCCAGGCAACTGAGCCGCGCACTACAGGCACATCAGTGGTGGCTCATTCATCTGTTTATATCTGTGTTTGTGTGTTCAATCAAACAGGTTGTGCAAGTGTGATGACAGGGGCAGTGAAGGAGTGTGTTCAGCTGAAGATGGGCACTGCTATTGCAAGAATAATGTTGAGGGCCAGTCCTGCAACAGGTGACCCTCTATTCCTCACTCTGTCTTAAAATTACATGTCTTTTCTCTTTATTTCTCATCTGCAACCTTTTGCATGCATTTCACCATTGGTATGTCTGCAATTAGAGCAAGAGACATTATTATTATATTTAGCACAGAGTAGATCAGTGATAGATCAATTTGTGGCCTCCTACTATGTCCAAATCATACACACACCTCCAGTTGCCATAAATCAGTGGAGAAATGCTCATATCTTCTCTCCTCTGCGCATAACTCAATAAATAAGCACCACATTTTCCAAAACTTTACATAAATTATTTTTATAAATTTGAGGAAAACTGAACTAGTATCTAACAGTGCTTTATATCTGGTTTGTGTATTTGTGTGTATTATAGGTGTAAACCAGGCTCCTTCAACCTCCAGCTGGATAACCCAGATGGCTGTAAGAAATGTTTTTGTTTTGGACACTCCCTCGCCTGTTCATCCTCCAATCAGTACATGGCTATGAATATTACTTCAGACTTCCTAGAAGGTAATTTATCAATTACACTTTTTTTTTTTTTTACATGATTTTCATAGTGCATATCAGTGTTCACGATTCTCGCTTCTCCCTGCAATCATACACATTTCACCCTTTTGTAAAATATATTTAAAAAATAACTACAAATACCTTTTATGTGATTTTAATCGTAACTAACATGTTTTAAATGTCCTTAAGTGAATATATAGTAGGGTCCAAGCTTAGACCATGCTGAAAATGTATTTAAAATCCCATTTCAACAAAGGTTTGGAATTTTCAACATTTTAAATCAAAGATACAACTGTGATGTCCGATTGATTACAACCATTTTAGATTCCACACATATTTCATATAATTCAAATGAAGTTTTTAATATTAATTTGTGATATTAATCTTGCGACTTTGCACAGTCGATCAGATGGTCTTCCTTCCATTGAAACACAAGACACTCTTTGGATCATCTAAAATCGTTTAGGAGAACATGACCATCAGACTTTACAGTTCACACAGCTCAAGTTCTGCTGCCATTAAAGCAAATGAGAGACAAATCAACTTACACATTCTGAAATGTATATATTTTCTTTTACAATTTGTTATGCTGATCGTTCAACATTTTTGTATTAAATAAAAGAATGGGAAATGGAAGTATTTTCACCAGGAATCTCAGACATTGTTGTGTGTGCTCTGTGTTCAGATCCAGATGGCTGGAAGGGTGTGTTCTCAGAAGGGCACGAACAATCCCTCATCTGGAAGGAGGGGGAAGTCTATCTATTGCCCTACAGAGAGGAGAATGGCTTTTACAAAGCACCTGGTAGGACAGCAACTAGGCTATACACTTTACCTGTAGAACAAGTGTTGCTTAAGGGCCTGTCTTGAAACTACTCTAGGCTAATTCAGTTCACCCTGTTGTGAAAGTTTTTAATGTTGTTTATGTCTGTGTGGTAGTGTTTTTAATATGCTTTAAGAAAAACCATGTCAACAGCATTGCGGAGTATTTTCTTTTTAAAAATACAGTGATCTGTAGACAATCTTAAAAATGCACTTTGAAACTGCTGGTGTTTCTTACATCACAAACTGCCTTGTAGGTATACCTGAGTAAACATGGTTTGTGTAACATTAGCAACACATTATTAGCTGTTTACCGTTATGTGTCGGACATTGTAAAGAGCGATACCATTGTGCAGCGTTTACCTTGTTTACCAGTGTTTTCATGTTTACCATCTTTACAAAGGTGTAAAGTTACATTCCAGCTATTTTAAGGCATGATGACTCTGTCACAGGGATTTAGTTGTTAGTTATCTATAGTTATGCTACCAATTAGAGAAATTTTAGGACAGTTAGTTAATATCCTAATATCCTATCCAATATCTACAAGTTAGACCTACACAATTGATTTATATGATTTACATTGTTTGTTCTACTGTCTGTTCTCTTCTTAGCAACTGTAGAAAGCAGAAATATAGTTTAGTTTGACTTTGTTTGGTAGTGTTATAAGCTTTCTTTATTTTGCAAAAGTAAACATATGATAAACAGTGGACTAGAATTAGCATGCTTGGCCATACATAGTATTTCATAGAGTATCCTCTGAAAATATACCAGCTGTACAGGCCAGTCCAGAGGCAAGATGTAGTCCAGTTCCCCTGTGTAATTGACAGGCTGAGGGATTTTACTCTTGTCTACACAGCAATGTACTGCCATGGGAGACACTTAGCCAGACCAACTTGGCCACTCACTCTGGGAAAAATCCTGTTAACTTCACGTCTTCGTGTCTCACACATTTTCTCATTGGCTGCATATAGAGAAATACACACTAACACAATATATTGGGTCTTAATACCCTTAAAATACATGAATGTGTCTTTTTTGTGATGCATTGTGATTTAATAGTAAGGTTTCTTATGTATTCATAATGCTGTAATGTGCATGTTCAGTCTCATCCATCTATGTGTTCCTACCAATGACTGGCTCCAGAGATGCAGCACTGCCCTTTTTGCTACTCTTTGGAGCACTTGGTGCCGTTTCTCTTATCGCTGCAGCGCAGGGCTTGTTTGTGCCGTTCTGGCCACTTGGCTAAAATGCGCCGAGATCTATTGCTCCCTTGAAGCTTTTAACGATCTCATTTGATTTCCTTCCCTCCCTGTTTCCCCGTTGACTCGCATCTCCTCATCCACGTGCATTTAGAGTACAGCCACCCTGACAACTCCAACAGCACCCAAGGACTTTTTAGATTATCCTTTTTAAAAACTTCACTCTCTGATTTGCGTTGTGCGCTAAATTTTGATCTTTAATGCTTTTCACACATCACCAGTCTCACCAGAAAGGAAATTTCTATGTGAAGGGGGAATGTTTCCCTGATTAAGTCTGTATTTGAAAAGAGTTAAATAGATACTAAGAGTGTGTGTGTTTGTGTGCGAATAATTCTTCACTTGAATAGCTCATCTAGCTGGGCGTAGCTTTGGGCTTTTGACACCACTGAAGCTGCCATGTCAACAGAGGGTTGACATGATACCATAGCCAAGTGCCAAGCCAAGAGTTTAGCTGGCTGACTGAGCCAGACTGTGTGTGTGTTTGTTGTGTGATCTCCCCAGAGGTACATCTGCTCCATGGTGAGAGGACAGAGTGGAACATTTATCATAGCTTTGAGGAGAAAACAACTTGTCACATACACACACATACACACACACGCACACACACACACACACACCTCCCAAAAGCTGGTTGCAAGCTGTCTCAGAGTCACAAACACAGATGGAGAAAAACGGAGGTCGCCGAGAGATTAGAGTTTGAGATGGATGGGGGTTGGAGGGAGATCTAAACGTCCCCGTCCTCTGAGAGTCGCGTCCAGGTACCACATTATGTCCATGAGCAACTTGGCCAGTGCACCCTGACAGCCAACCATATGCCTGGAATAAATCTCTCCGGCAATCATGGCTCCTGGCGAGACGTATCAGATGTGATCAACTGAGACAAGTGGCACAAATTATTCTCAATCCTTTAATCACTGAGATTGATGTTTAAAGCTGGGTTTAATCATAATGTCTCACCTAACTTCTCCCGTATGTAAGACTGTGCTGATTGTAAAGTGCAGAAATTTCAATAGAACTGCAGCAATAAGGCCAATTACATTCATGAACAGACACCACTATTAAAATGCCTGATATATGCCGCATTGATGATGCTGTTTTTTTAGTACAGTGGGTGGTGTGGATGACACTGGGAAAAAGTGCAAGCACACCTCACTGTGGTTGCAATGAGAAGCTCAGAGGTAAATACTGAATAAATACCTGATATATAATCCTGTCCCCCTTCACTGACTGGTCGTTGCTTTAGGTTCACCCAAAAATGAAAATTCTGTCATTGTTTACTCATCGTTTCAAACCTGTATGACTGAATTTCTTCAATCAGTGGAACGGAAAAAAAAGATATTTTGTAGAAGGGTGGTAACCAAACAAGTTTTGGTGACCTCCATTGTATGCCCCACCCCCCAAAAAACAACAACATGAGGGTGAGTTAATAATGACAGAATTTATATTTTTGGGAGAACTGTCCGTTTAATAAAGCTTTCGGAAAGACAAATCAAGACTTAGTATATGCAGATGTTAAAGTCCCAGTGAAATCAAAATTGAACCTATTTACTTTGTTAGCGCATATTACTACTCTTGTGGTGAACAATTAATCCGTGCAAGTAAAAATATATTAAAAAAATGTTTTACCTTGGTAATCTTTAATCAAAATCTGAAAAGTTACTTCCGGTCTGGAACGATTTCTTTTTCTGATGACGTAGGTTTCACAGTTTGGGTGGGGAAACGCTTAACCACTCCCCTTAAACCGTTTACTATGAGCGAGAGATGGAGAGGAGGAGCGCTAGAGTAAAACCCTGCCCTCTGTTCAATATTCCGTTTCACTTGGAAATACGTCACAGCACTGGAGAAAAATCGTTTGCAACTTCCGGTTCACGGGGACTTTAATACAGAAACCTGTTTATCATTTTATTTCTCCTCTCAGTCACAATCAGACATAAATGTACATATACAAATACAATTGACCTATGGCTAAGCCACGCCCCTATCCACGCACTAGGACAAACAGTCAACGTTTGGAGACAGGTGCTATGGCAGCTGTCACAGTAGGCATTTCACAGGAGGCAATCAGTGATTTTTGGAGACAGAAATATTATATATTATCTCGAAGTCACCTAAAGGGCCTTAACTATGCATTGGAGGGTTATATTAATAATTCTATTGTTGAGAAGGTTGATGAAAAGCTTCAGCTCCAGATACTTGCCATCACCGTTTGGTGCTACAGTATTTACACGAATCATTCAGCATAACATTGTTAACATTTGTCTTGGTTATTTACAGATACGTTAATGAAGCTAAGTGACATGATGTACAACGCAACTAAAACTAACGTTAATATTTTCTAATGTTAGGCTAACTCTAGCCAAACGTACGTTAGAGATTCTAAAGATAACTTTCAAATATGTTGTTGACTTAACTTAGAAAAGATGTAGACTTGTTTACTGTAATTTATCCACATTTAGTTGGTGTTGTGGTCTGCCGCTTAACTTAATCGCATAACTTAATCCTGAGCAGACACTTATCTCGGTTGAGATCTGGTTTGGGAAAGCATAAAAAATACACACCATTGCCCAGCCTCTCGGGAACCTAGTGTCGTTATTGCATGTACCCCATGCACACAGTTTGACCAAGAAAAAAAAACAAAAAAAAAACAAATGAATTGAATGAAGTGTGTTGAGTTAGCTGTGCACTGTGATTAGCTCATCGCTTTTGAGGGCGTGGCTTAGCCATAGGTCAATTGGACATGACTTAAGCCCTTGAAGTCGCCATAAAATAAAATATGTTAGCCTTACTGTTATCCATAAGTTAGCGTGCTCCAAAACAATGACAACATTCATATTTATTCGTCGTGGTGACGATTCCATTTTATCAAATCTGATCTTGATGAGATAGGAGTTAAACAGCAAGTGCTGGAAGCTACAAGGGATATTCTATTCTTATGTACCGCTTGACTTCTTATTTACAGCTTTAATTTTCTACCAGATACAGATCGTCAATTGTCTCTGGAGAGTCTGTGTTGGGTGTTGGAAGAAAAACACCCACTGTAGATATTTTATTTTATTTTATTTTTTCGCCTCATCATCACTATGGGTGCTGGAATTTGTGAATAAGCTCTCACAGGGAAGGTTTCAGCATGCTGTCAGGCCTGGAAACAACAGGAATCCAACAGTTACAGAACATTTTAGCCTCCTTTTGTTGAAGTTGACTCATACTTGTCTCTGCATGTGGAACAGCAGGTGGGCAGAGAAGAAAACACACTCCCGCTAAGTATCTAACAAGCTTTCAGGTTGCCGGGGCTTAGAATGTTTTGCAGCTCTTTGTTTCAGGTGAAGCATGTGGCGCTGTGCATGTATTTCAGGGATCAGTTCGATGGTGAAGAGATGATGGGAACAAGAAACTTATAGGGGTGCTAGCCAGTTAATGATCCAATGAGAGATTTTAACCCACAGAGTGTTCAATGCTTTAGATAAAAGGAAAAACTCTAATTTTGCTATGATTTGTTTGTGGACTTGGAACAGTAAACCAAGAATTTGAGCCACCATATTCCATGACTATACATATTGAATCACATATTTTTATTTTTATTTTTTTTTTTTTATTGATCGTACTGTTTAGGTTATCAAATGAGCTCATAAATAGGTAACTTAAGAGTAAGGGGCCATTCAAATGAATGCATTTTTGAGTTAAAAAAAAATGATGGGAAGTGGAATGAAAAAAATCCTCAAGTTTGAACTTGCGAGATACTGCAAAAGACACAAGAGGCAAGTCCATAGACATATACACTAGACCTCACCTGGGGGTTCTAAGCATGCGTCAAAACCGCCGCCATCTTGGAACAGGGGTCTTGTCATAGGAAGTAGCTAGGTAACGCTGCTATCTCTGCCTTTACTTCGAATTCATTGATGATGGCGGACTTTTGTGCAGCGTATGAAGTTCACGGATGAAATAACTAGGAAGAATGTTTAAAAAAAAACAAAAAAAAACATTTCTTTCTGGAATCAATGATAAATACATGTCTGACCGTTGGAACAAACCAAAAAAACAAGAAAAATCGCATTTATGATGATTTTATTTGCGTTAGACCTGCCTACTACATTGACGCTGATGCATTAAAGTGGAGGGGCTCCCCTGTTTCAAGATGGCGGCTCTATTGACGCATTCGTTCTAATGAACTGCCGTATCCAAGGTGAGGTCTAGTGTATATGTCTATGGCAGTGGTCAAGCACATCTGTCTAGCTCATGTTTACATTGAAAAACCTTGGAGAAGTGGTGCTGTGGAAGGCAAAAATGAGTTCTGTGTGAACTGCCCTTAATTTAGAAGTATTGAGAGACAAAGAAAAAGAAGGGTTGACATCATAGAACCCCTATACTATCCTTAAGCAGAGCATCTAATCACCGCCAGCAGGTGTAGGCATTTCTCTCAAATCCACAATACAATAAAACAATTTTACTGTAACCACTGGCTATTCTATGTCTGGACATATTTTGTTACTGTCTGTCTTTTCCTTAGCTCACCCTCTCCATCTTATTCTATCACACTTTTCACAGGTATTACTTTCATATTATGTTCTCAGTGTAACTCATCTTTGAAAAATGTTCTGAAGCCAGCATTACCTTCTGTGGGGAGTTAAATCTATCTAACCCGCTACATACACAGTGGCCCAAGGACGAATTACGGCCCTCCCCACCCCTCCTTTTAATATCATATTTCAAGGCTTCTTGTTCACGTATATTAGAACAGGATGGCCTACCTCATGCAATACTCATGTTTTAATGTTTTAAGTCATACAAATTAGTTAGCAATGCTCTGATTTTTTTTTCAAGTAACATGAAAAGTAACCTTGAAAAACACTACACCGTATCTGTACATAAACATACTACAAGAACACCAGCCCTGTGCTTTAGAAGTTAGAAAATGATAGATTCACCAGATCCACCATCAAGTGACAGTGACACTAATATCTGTGTTCAGTACTTGCTCTGCAGTAAATCACTGAACCACTTCAAATTTTGCTGATGATACTTCCCATTCTTTTTGTTTTCTGCCTGCAATAACTATGAGTGAAACTTCACTTCATTATGTTTTAGACATTGTCACCTTGTTGAATAAAGTTGAATTGGACTCATTCAGTCATCAAAAAGCCAATTATTATTGTGCAAAATATAGCTACTCTGTTATACACCTCGAGCCGTTAGTGACCCTATACAACTTTTACAAAATAAAAAAATGAATGGAAAAACAGGCATTATTTTTTGTTAAATAATTGTTTATATTTATAATTAATATCTTGAATAATACTAAGAAGGTTGATATCTAACTTTAAAAAATGATTAAGGGTGAAGGTAGTGAATGACGTCGCAGGTCACTATAGACCCGAGGTATGCATTTAAGGATTCAAATGTGCCAGCTACTTAACATCCAGTCTGGCTTTTTTTAGAATACAGACGTATTCCAGCCCGTTCTCATCCTTTAACGTCATATAGAACACTATATGACAAAACGGCGCTATACTACGCACATGGCACCCTTTATTGTTAATATAACACGCGAACCCAAGACGTTATAAATCCTTTAGCGTGAATATGACACGCACACCCTACCCCACACCTAAACTTAGCCCTCACAACGCTTGTTATCTATATTAACGATAAAGGGTGCCATGTGCGTAGTATAGCGCCGTTTTGTCATATAGCATTCTATATGACATTAAAGGTTGAGAATGCGTTGGGTATTCAATGGAGATGACTTTTGAGATGACTGAGTTTCAAATGTTTAGGTTAATAAAAGCATAAATTTCGTCATCTCTCCCTCGCTCTCTCTGTGTTTGTTTATATACCGTATTATGTAGCAAAGCATGTGGTTCTTTGAAGTCTTGTTAAAGCTCTTTAATGAGGCAGGAGGATATGAGTGGCAATTAAGATCATCCTCTTACAATCTCTTGCATATAGAGATGTACAGACACCATGAGATCAGTGAGATCCAACCTTCTTTTTTTCTCTAAACCAGAAGAACAATCCACTTCCTTATGTGAACAGAATTTTTTTTTCCTCCTATTATATTTTTTACAGTTGCCATCCGTCACGGTGTTTATCTTTGGTAATCGGGTTGTTTCAGCTCAGTAGCTGGTGTAATATGCTGGTAATCTGTAGGTTGTGAGTTTGTGTTCCAGAAAATTCTGTGCTGCCCTTGAGCAAACCACTTAACACAATTCACAGCACAGCTGTTGCTACCAGATAACTTACACTCGTGTTTGCTTAATCATACAATGGTCATATACAAATTGGAATATGCATTGGCACTTTTAAATGTTTTCTCTTTATATTTCAGATAAATATCTGGGGAACATTTTGTTAAGTTACGGACGGCCCCTTAGCGTGACATTTACAGCTGAGCTGGAGGAACTCTTGCCCAGAAGTGTGACCGTGATGATGGAGGGCTCTGGAATATTGGTTTCTGCTGATTTGTACTCTAAACAGGATCCTTATTCTCCACTGGAGAAGACACCCACCAACACCTTCACTCTCAGGTGTGTGTGTGTGTGTGTGTGTGTGACCAAATGTCCCCACAAGTATAGTAAAACCTGAAATCACATTGTGGGGACCAGCTAGCGGTGAGGAAAACAGCATATAAATCACACTAAGTAATGTTTTCAAGTTTTAGCTGTAAATTTAAGCACAAAATGAAGAAACAATGTATTTATCATTTATTTATCGCAAAACTGCACTACATGTTTAGATATATAATACATAGAAATATGTATGTTGTTGTTCTAATGGAAGTGTAAGCACCTTCACTGCTAAAAGCTAGATATTACAGAAATAGTACACCGTTTTCCTTGGTGAGGACGACAGACTGTGACAGGAAGGCTAACCTTTTATGGCAGCTTTTTCCTTTGCATTTATTGTTTTGACAAGTCTGTCCTACCAGAGTGACAAGAAAATGGATAAAAATGTTCCCATGATTCATTCATTCATACAGAGACATTCCCAATTGCATTGACTTTAATTGACAAGATCTAGTGTGCCTTAATGAAGAGCCTCGTTTTTTACGGAAAAATAAAAAGTCTAAGGGACAATGTTTTCTCTTGAAAAACACTAGTTATCGTAGCAGACATGGTCACGTTTCTAACTATTATGTTTCTGCTTTCTGTTTTTCAGGTTAACAGAGAAGGACGTGATTCCATCTATAGCCTCATTTGAGTTTCTCCGAATGCTTTACAATCTAACTGCTCTATACATCAGCAACGCAGGGGGCCAGAACTGTAAGTCAATGTTTATATATGTGTGCACATTTATGCAAATATGTAAGAAAAAGACTGGCATTGAATGCAATCAATTGCTGACCAAAAGAAATTGATTTAAAACAGCGAAAGGAAGTATAATATTGGTAGTATGGATTGTACTGTATTCAACGATTGATTCAAAGTCTAGAGGAGCTTTTAACTTTGGCCATGCCCCTACCAATTCTTTCCTGGCCTGTGATGGTTTAGTGATGGCATTCATTGTGACATGATTTCTGTGCTGTTTAGAATGAATTGAATTAAGGGCTTCATTGAGAGATGTGCAGTGATGTGCTTAATCAACGTGCCAAGTAGAAAGCATCACTAGTGGAAATCGCATATTGTAAGTGTCAATCACCATATGTTGTTTTGAACAGATCAAAAGATTCACATAGAAAAAATAATGTAATGATGGGTTTGCTTTTCATTCTGGAAAATTTACAACAGTAGCTAATGAAAAGCAATGTCATGGGTGTATTGCACTAACATTGCTCCTGTGTAATGATTGTGATGATGATTCATTAAATATAGTTCTAAACGAATGAATGAATGAAATAATTTGTAGATAATGTAAAATAATTCTAAATATCAATAGTGCCTACATTTTTAACTTATATAGATTTAATAAATAAATAAATATAAAAATTTAAAACAGACAAAATAAAACTCCCATTTAAATAAGTTAAGTATAAGTAATGAGTTAAATAACATTTTGAAGTCCAATTTTTATAATAGAAGGCAGCAGACATCTTCCCTCAGAAAAACGGAGCTGTAAATTATTATAAGAACAATTACTATACTAAACTGCATAATATACCTGCCATGCTGCACTTACAAATACATTAAGAATGAATGCTGCAATATTTGAGTTTGAGACAAACAGTTGTATGATTCAGTTGTATGAAACAGTTTTATATGATTCTAAGGAGGAACACTGTGAATGTATTTTCTCTCACTCTCTGTCTCTCTCTTGTCTGATTTCTTCATCAAAAGAAGTAAATTACAGCTTACCAAGGAGCATAATTATTACTCTACCTCTAGCAGGTCCTCTTATTTATTCTTAGAAACTGAAATATGTGTATGTATTTGAACTGCTCTCCCTTTCTCCTACAATGTGTACACATGATAATCAGTTTGTCTGTATATGAACACGCAAATACAATTGCCATTATCTCTCAAAAGCACACATAAATATTGTTCTTCCTGGCCATGTCCTGATACGAAAGTTAAGATGATTGGAGTCTGAGACCCAGGAGAAGAAGAGAGTTCTTGATCTGTGTACAGCCTCCCTCTATCACTATTTATTAGGCGGTATGGATCCCTGAGAGAAACAAAGACCCACTCACCTTCACCATATTCCACCTCTCCCCACTCAGCCCTTATTGATTAATTCATTCCTTGTTCATTTATTCATACAGTGATCAAAGATTCTATCTGCTTGCACCCAGTGGTCCTGATGTCTGTCTGTGTGTAAGCAAAGGTGAGAGAGGCAGAGGGGAGCTTTAGCAGGAAGGCTATGCAAGCTACGTCGTGAGGGCAATTACAAGTGGACGGGACACTGTGATTTCACATTCAGTGTAGCTTCATTGTGCAATGCTCTTCCTAAATCCATCAGAACGGTTAAAACCTTCTTTACCTTCTTAGGGGAAAAAAACACAACCCCACAACCCCAGTAAACTATGGTTATGTTTGTTTCTAGTTTGGTTATCTTCTAATCAGTTAATTAGTTGCATGTATATACTGTAAGCCCTCAGTTTCGGTCTGTTCTTTGTCAAGCTTTTGTTAACCTTACGGGTGTGGGGTGTGGAATGTGGTATGTTTCTCCTTGTTGATTCTCCAATTTATAGTTTGGACATCTCCTTCGTTGTGCGCTTTGAAACAGCCACAGCTTGTGACAGTTATATTGTTCATTTAATAGTATGAATTAAATATTTGTATTAATAATTAAAAATGTTATTAAAAATATATTTCTGACCCCAAACTTTTGAATGGTAGTGTGTGTATTTATTTGTTAGTAGGTTGTTCAAATATTGTAGGTAATGTATACGTTTTTCTTATTTTCAGACACCTCTCAACTTTCCAGGGTAACCCTTGAATCTGCAGACCAGACAACCTACCAGCCTGATGCTGATGCTCCATGGGTGGAAGTGTGTAGTTGTCCCACAGGATTCACAGGGCAGTTCTGTGAACTCTGTGCTCCTGGATCCACCAGGGAAACTCCTAATGGTGGACCCTTCTCCCCATGTATACCTTGCAACTGCAATCAACATGGGACCTGCCATCCTGAGACAGGTTGGGAGTGTGTTTGTTTATTACCATGCAGTCTGCACACAGCGTCCATGCATGATGTCTTTAAATGATACATACCGTTTCCCCACCATAACAATGTTCCTTGAATCCAAGTCAGTTGTGGCAGCCAAATGTTCCTCTTGGTATCGCCTCTGAGCAGATATGTTCTATGTAGATACCAGTAGCTCAGTTTACGACTTAAAACGGTCTCGGAAATCTGAAAATATTTTGTTGCAGAATGCTGAACACATTTACAATTTATTATTGATTCAATTTATACAAAATTGTGGGTATAACACTATAATTTAGGGTCCAATTCTCACCATATTAAAGGATTAGTTCACCCAAAAATGAAAATTATATCATTAATGACTCACCGTCATTGACATAGTTTTCATTTTTGGGTGAACTAACCCTTTAATTTATTTAAAGTTTATTAGTACTTATGAAGCACATATTAATAACTTATTCTGCATGACCATATTCGGTAACGCTTCCTTTTACAGTACAGTACTTACAGTGTACTTACCTAGAAAGTACTGGCTAATATAAGGTAAGTACATGGAACAGGGGGAGGTTTAGGGGTAGTTTCAGGGTCAGTACTAGTTATTACCCAGTAATTGTAGTTACTAAAATAAGTACATAGTATTTACATGGGTAACTGGACTGTAAAAGGAAGCGTTACCCCATATTCTACATCCCTTAATCCTAACTAATTTTTACCCATTTCTACCCATCTACTAACTATTAAAAAGCAGTAATTAGGATTTTTTCTTTTTAAAGAAACTGGCACTTATTCATCCAGAATGCTAATTTCCTATCATTTATCATGCAAGTGTCAGATGTGGCTTTTTCTTGTAGCTCTTCCTAAAGGCCAGCAGCATCTTCTTTTGACTGTGGCAGATAAAACTTGTGTTAGTGTGTGCTGTTCGTACCGGGGGTCTCTTTCTCAAATTACAAACTCTCATGCACACTTCTGTCACTGTGCTGGTTAGATGTTTGCTTTGTTCTTGTGTATGGAATAGCCTTCATCTCTCATAAAAACAATTTAATGACGTGAGAAAAATGTGTTTGTGTTGGGACATTTATAAACCGAAATTTCATTTGAACATACGTATACAGTGACTTACAAGAAATCAATGTGTATTTACTACTTTAACAAGTGAAAAAAAAAAAAAAAAACATGGTTCTACTGTTTCCACAGTTCATTAAGTAGAACAACCATTTTCAAATGTGCTAATAATAAGAGAAGATTCTTGAATTCCAAATCAGCACATTAGAAGCATATTAATGATTATACAACACAAGCATCTATATCATATATAAAATCTATAACACACATCTTTTACTCACCAAGGGTGCTTTGAACTGATCAAAAGTACAGTAATAATTTAATATATTTAAAACTGTAATTTATTGCTGGGATGGCAAGCATCATTACTCCAGTCGTCAATGTCACATGATCAGAATGATCTAAATGCTGATTTGGTAAACATTTCTTAGTATCATCAATGTTGAAAAAATGTGCTGCCTTATATTTTAAAATATTTTTTATTCAAAAATTCAAATAAATTCAAAAGGAAAGGATTTATTTGAAACTGAAATCTTTTGTAACATTATAAATGCTTTTACTGTCACCGTTAAACAATTTAATGCAGCCTTGCTAAATAAAAGTATTAATTAATTCATTTCTTTCAAACAAACAAACAAAGAATTACTGACCCAAAACATTTGAACTGAAGTGGCTATAATTTTTAAATATCTAAAAAATAATCATTTTAAACTGTAAAGATGTGTTTTATTGCATTTTGATTAATTAAATAATTGATTAATTATTTTTGAATGGTTGTGTAATAGACGTACAAATACAGCTCATATCTCTTCTAGATTAAAAAAAAAAAACAGGTAATCCAGCTATCAAAAATATGATTTGCTCTTTTATCTTAAAGATAGAACTTCTGTTCCCACAGCCACCATATAGACCGCTGCAATTTCTCCCATTCATTTAAATATACTGTCTGCTTATACTGTCTCTGACTATATAGGCTTCCACACCTATTTTATACCTCCTGCACAATCACTCAAATGTTCCTCTCACAATCTTCTTCTTGTTCCTGTCATTTTCTGTATTGCTTCCCCTTGTTCCTTTCTCACTTTTTCATTCCTCCTCTTGTTCTTTCCATGACCCTATTAGCAGAATGGCAGGCTGTCTTTCTGTACAAGGTAGATAGAGTTCACGCTCGCTTCTCTTTCCTCTATTAGACCTGCGAGCCAGCCAGCAACTAATTAATTGTAATGTCGATTGCACAACAAAGAGTGTTTATTTGTGTCTGTCTCCTTTCAGCGATGACTCCTGGCATGGATTTGAACGTTTGTCCTCCCATCTTTCTTTCTCTCTCTCTCTCTCTGTCTCTCTACACTGATGAGTAATTTCACTCTCTTAATATGCGGCAAATTAAACCTCCATCGTTCTTATTATGAGCATAATGTGTGATTAGTTTGGTACAAGTCTTTAACAGTACAAATTAATGTCAGACATGACTTTATCTACCACTTGAGGTAGGCAAAGGTTGAAGCAGGCTGAGAGTTTGCCAGAAAAGGGGAGGGAATGGAAGGAAGAGGGAACTAGGGAATCAAAGCAAAAGATCGAACGAAAGTATGCACAGGAAATCTCCAACTCCCAGGATAAAAGGAGGAGCCTCACTCCTTTTATTTATTTATGAACCTGTTTAACTTCAAAGCAGATTTTGCCCAAGTCACAGCGGGTGCTGTTCATCGCCATTTAGCTGCTTAAATATTTTCCAGGTTCGTAAATAGAACTTGGCTTGCAAGGTCCCAGCTGAAAAGCAGCACGCTTATCATTAGCATATGCATAGGTCACGCTTTACTTTTCTGTGCACCAAAAACTCAGTGTGTTTTAATCGAATTTCCTATTCGTAAGCCTAATGTTGTTCGTCCGTCCTTTGAGCTTTGATTTGATCTCATTCCCGCCTCAGAAATGGTTTGTTCGCTGACAGGCCACGCCCCTTTGATTTATTATTTCCAAGTGAGAGGGTGTTTATCACGGTAATTCTAATTGGCTGTTAATTGGTTATTAGTCTTGTCACTTAGCACAGGTGTTGTTTGTTTGGTCAGAGAAAAGAAAGGAGGGAAGCTCGCCTCTTCGGGCTGAAACCAGTGGTGCTTTGTAATTGTGATATATTTAAAGTCTACCCGTTTGTGTCATTTCTATTTTCCTGCGAGCAATACAACAGATTGGAAAATGGTAATATTTGTGGCGGAAAAATGGAACTGTGGCACAGTCTTGTGCTGGAAGGCTAATGAAGTCAAGCATATGTCCTTCGGATGGACATATATTTTGCATGCGTGTGTGTTTTCTGGTCTCTTTCTTGAGTGCTTTTCCTGACCGTGTTAATTTAAGGGATCCCATCCATAAAATTAGGTGGAGAGGGCTTGTATGTGTCTTGGAAAAATGGGGGAAAGAACAGAGAGAGCAGCAGAAAAAGAGTGGCTTTCTGAGAATGAGGTTTTCATATAAATATGTATATTACCTGGAACAGTCACAGAGTGTGATAGCATTCATATCTCACCGTAGTCCATTGTGTCTTTTTAATTCTCTCTTGCTCTCACTTTCTTTCTCTCCACCTCCTTTGCGAAGTAGATGTGCATTTGTTTTGAGAACAATTAATTACTTTATACTGCATAAAACACCATATAAAAATGACAACCTTCTATTTTTCCTAGCAAATGATGTTTGTCTGAAAATGTACTTAATTAAAACCAGCAAACAAAGAAGAAAAAACCACACAGAGTCCCTCGGACTAGATATATTCTTAGATCCACATGTTACAGTATATGTGGATGTCAAATGGGTTTTAATGTGTTTTATAATGGTTAGTAATACATTTAAAGTGCTGTGTTTTCAAATGGTAAATTTCTCTCTCTCTGTTCCTACTGTCATTGTTCCTGTGAAGCAGACCTTATAAAAGAAGGTGAAAAAACATAATGAAAGGTCAAGGAAAAATAACTGGAAGATGTTAGGTAGTGAGAAAAGACAACTGCGTTTGTCAGAGAAAATGTGCAGTCTATTTTTCAAAATAGTGAGCACATATCTTCAAGTGAAAGATTGAATAGTTTTCAATTTGTTTAATGGAAAGTTCAGAAGAACCTCATTTGCTTGAAATATAATCATTTGTAACCTTATAAATGTCTTTAATGACACTTTTAGATCAATTTAATGTTTCCTTGCTGAATAAAATAATTAATTAAAATAGTTTTTTTTTTTTTTTTTAAATGTACTGACCCCAAATTTTTGAACGGTCTATATACTCCGAAAGATTGCTTAAGACAAAACAGTACATGGTAAAACAAAGCATACATGAAGACATACAAAACTCTTACATAAATATTTTTTTCTTAACTAAGCAACAAAAAAAAAGTATGTGGCTAACCATCCTAAATGAAAATGCTACAGTCTTATTAGCTCTATGAAGTATTGTAGAACAAACTGTAATACATATTCTAAAGAGCTCGACCGCGTAATGACTGATGTAGTCCGACAGGTATACCGGGGGTCTAGAGCGCCCTTTTCCCAAAGGACAGCCGCACGGATGGGTTCTTTTCATGCCTCTGTTTTTGGAAAAAGAGGGACGCCTTTATTTTTACTCTCATTCTTTCACCCCTCTCAAAGAGTCAGGAAGGGCCCATGTGGAGGATCTGACATTTAGCCTCCCTGAAGAAGTGAATAATTCAGAAAGAAGAAAGGTACAAATGTCAGGTGCTGGGAATAAACTTGCCTGAAGAAATGCAAGATTTCAAATAAAGACATTGATATGATAATCCCAGCAGATCTCTGGCCATGGATATCCTCCTGTTTTGCATACTGTAGCAGGCCTCTTTTGTGACAATTAATTGGACATAATGTAACATCAACTTGATTAATCTTGATTGATAAGCCAATGAATATGGACTCTCTGTGAGAGAATGTTGAACTGATATCACAATCAGTCGTGAAGCAGTTTAAGGGAATAAGGAGACTTTTGGTTCAAAATGCAAATTAATGCAATTTCCAAGCCAGAAGCTTTTGATCTCTGCACAGGGAAGTGGTTGTTTCTCTCTCTCTCTCGTGCTCTCTCTTTCTCTTTCTGTGTGTGTGTGTCCTGGTAAACCCTACTGTATGGGGACAAACTCTCCCCTCAAAGATGCCAATATTCCTAAGTCATTGTGGGGACATATTTTGGTCTGCCAGTCAATAGCTGCCACATCTGTCTCATATTACCATAAGGGCAACTTTAACATCCGCCGAGGCCGACAGACAGATGGTAGCAAGCATTTCTTTTACACTCAAACAGAATTAAACGTAACCTCTCTCACCTTCCCGTTCTCCCTCCTGTCTCTCTCTTTATACCTTTGTGGCCAGGTGTAACTGGCTCTTTGTGCTGAAAAACATCATGTGATTAATCATTTCAGCTGTATTGCACACATTCTCATCATAGTTGCAAAGCTGACAGGAATGTCATGTCATCTTCAAGCGCTCAGTTATGATTTGAATGAATCTGGTCCAAAATTTTCCATCAACCTGTTGCCTTTGGATTGCAACATGACTGGGGTGACAACACAACTGAAATGTGAATTTGGTCACACACACACAAAACAAATCTTTAATGTTGTCTCAGTTGATGAGTTTGAATATATTGTTTGAAAATCTTACATTTAGTTCACTCAAAAAAAGAAAGATAATTTCTCATCCTCGCATTCTTTCTTCCATAAGACCATAAAAAAACACACAATATTTTCCATGCAATTACAATAAATGGATAAATATAAATAGGAAAAAAAATGATGCTAAATCACGTATGGTACTACTTATGGTCCATTTTGCGTACTGTAATCCAAGTCTTCTGACTTCACAAAAAGACCAAATTGTTTTTGTTTTGGTGCTTTTTGTCCCAGACATAGCATTGTAAAAAAAATTGCTCTGCATTGTGTTGTGTTGTTGCTGTGTGTCCACTGTTCTTTTAGTAAGACCGCGTTAATTTTGTTTTCTCCAGGTCAGACCGACACAAACACAGACACATATGCTTTCGCACACACACTGTGTTCCCAGACCTCCCAAAGACTGAAAATGAAATGCCTTCTAAATCTAATTCAGCAGAACAAATAAACAGAGGAAGAGGAACATGGCTGAACCCAGCTGCTTATAAAATCAGAAAAAAAGAAGAAAAAAAAAAAAACAGAGACCCCTACCGTATTTCTTTAAAGACTTCAGACTTCCATTTGAACTAAGGTGCTTTTCATTGAAGTTATCACACACTGCTTCCCGTTATTGATCTCTCAGTCCATCTATCTGTTCTTCTCTGCCTCTTTTCTCTTTTTTTCTCTGTCTCTGATTTGGATCTATTAACGGCAGTCAAAATCTCTTATATCACAAGGATGGCACACATGGCTTATAAGGCAGTGTGTGTTCCAAGATGTGCGTGTTTGTGTGTGTGTGTGTGTGTGTGTGTGTGTGTGTGTGTGTGTGTGTGTGTGTCTATATATATATATATATATATATATATATAAAGAGCAACCTCTCAGCAATAAAACATTTTTATAATGGAGTCTTGAAAGAGATTACAGCTTAGATATCTCCCATGTTTCTCATAGCCCTTTCTCATTTCTCTCTTTTCTTCCATAACTTTCTCAGGTCTCCTTTGATGTTATTTCTCTCAAGGCATTTTAGAAGAAACATCTAAGACACTATTGATATTAAAATGAGAGATATATGAGAATCACAACTGTGTCTCATGAGCTTAGAAAAAGCAACTTCTGGACAGTAAAATATTCCTATAATGCAGTCTTGAAAGAGCTGCAGCAAGGCAATTTCAGATAATTTCTCAGGTCTCATTTGTCTACTTTTATTTCTCCTAAGGAATTTTAGGAGAAACATCTGAAACACTCTTGATACTAAATAGAGATATAGGAGAATCAAAACTAAGTCTCTTGAGCTTAAAAAAAGCAACTGAGCAATACATTTTTTTTCTCTGGGTTGTTTCTGTCTCAGCCCATTCTCAAGCATTTGACCATGCTTCAATATCTGACGCTTTAGGCGCCCTTTAGCGTCAGTTAGATGACGCCCTAGGATCGCGTGTACCCTACCCCCACCCCATACCTAAACCTAACCGCGTCCTCTAACTGACGCTTTCCTTTAGCGTCAGTTAGATGACGCCGTAGGATCGCGTCATGTAAGTGACGCTAAAGGGCGCCTAAAACGTCAAATATTTGAAGCATGGTCAAAGGTGACGCCTTGGGGTGAGAATGTGTTGTCTGTCTTCTCTCATCGCTCTAAGACACCCAACTATCTCTCTCAGTGAAACCTTATTAAATCTATTAGTGTTGGTGGCTGGCATTTAGTGATTTTGAGGGACAGCAGGAGTCTGGAGTCTTTGTCCTTAAATGATAATGATTACCCGATTGATAGGTGTAAATTAGCCATCACAAAGAGAGCCAGTACTTACCTCCTCACAATCTCGCTGACAGTTGTTTTTCACCATCAATTTACACTGCTCAGAATAGTGTGCTTTTATTCAAACCATCTGCATGTCTAAATAATTTATTAGAAAGTTTATGAAGGTAACTTTTGCATAGAACTTCTTTAACGCTAACTTTTTATCATTGATTTCTTTCTGTTTTTGTTATGCTAGCTGGTGATTTGTTTCTAAACTGTCTCAATAGAGAACTCCAGCGTTAGGGCTGATATTCAGTTCAGTAGTTTTAGAGGTTTTCCCTGGAATGCATGTTAAGAGAGTCTGTTATTTATGGTGTTATTTTCTTTGATCTTTCTGGGTTTCAGCCCTCCCTGAAGCTGCTTTACTATTCACTCCATGTGCTCTACATATTTCATACACATAAAGGTCAAGAATGAGGTTATTTTAACATAAATATGTTATATATAAAAGTCAAATAATCTGATAATAGAATACATAGAAGACTGTGTATTTGGAGGTTTTGATTGAACTTTGGTTTTCTTATTGGTAAAACGAATAAATCATCATAAATGATTTGAATTGAGTTCTTACTACTGATTCATAAATAATCATATAAGCTTTTGGAGGCAGATATGTTTGGACAATCTTCAGTAGCTTCAGTAATGTGGTTTTCGAGCAAATACACTCAACCTGCATAGTTACAGACTGGTCACATCACTCTTTCTCTCTCACACACTCACACACTTTATATGTAATGGTATATTGCCATCTGCTGTTTTAGTTGGGTAGTGCACTGTTTTTTTTCTAACCAGTGGAGGGGTGTGTAAAAATGTAATATCATTTTTATATATTTATCATATTTTTTATGATAAAATTATACAAAAAGTATGTATAATTGTATGTAATATATATATATATATATATATATATATATATTATACTATTATTTTCTAAGGTGTAGTATTTATTTATTTTTTTGATAATATTTTATATTTATTAATTTGTATTACTTATATCAAATGTATTTTTCTTTATTTAGTACGTGTGTTTAATTAAATCTCCACTTGTGTCTCTGTGAAAGCTGTCAGGGCATGTGGGCAGAATCCAAATGGAGTCCATTGTTTTGCCCAATGGCATAATTTGGCTTGTTTTCGTACTGACACTGGCAGCGTTGAACTGCTTGTCTGAGCTGATAAATTGATACGTGATGCTCACACCCTGGTGTTTCTGCGGTGTGCCGTTAGCTTGCTTTTATAGTAACTCATATTGTAGGCAATTCATGCAGTTTCATTGTGTTCGTGTGCAAGGCTCAGTGAATCTGATGATTGAATATATGTTCTTCTCATCAAAAGAGGACCATATTTTTGTTGTATAAGCTTATCTTTGTGTGTATTTTATTGCAGGTGTGTGTGACTGCACAGACTTCACCACCGGCCGTTATTGTGAGCGTTGTGAAGATGGTTACTATGGCAATGCACTGATTGGCAGCTCAGGCGACTGCTTACCTTGTCCTTGTCCAGATCGCACCACCTGCGCCCAGGTGCCAGAGACGGGGGACGTGGTTTGTACCAACTGTCCGAGAGGCCAAAGGGGTCAGTTGCAGTCAGTTTATGTGCTATTTGCATAATTCTTCACAAATACTCAGTTCAGCATTAAGAAGTAAATACATTAGAAGTTGAAGTGCATTATGCACTCACTGTAAATAAATGTACGTTTAGTCATTTAGCAGATGCTTCTATCCAAAGCACAAACACAAAGAGCAACAATAAAAGGATTTTAATGGATCCCCAGGTGTACGGTGTGAATTGTGTGAAGATGGTTACTATGGAAGCCCTCTGGGCTGGGGTGGCACAGTGCAACCGTGTGTGATGTGCGAGTGTAATGGGAACGTGGATCCCAACGCTGTGGGCGTGTGCGATCACATGACTGGACGCTGTCTGAAATGCCTTGGACATACGACTGGGGACCATTGTGAAAAATGCAGATCAGGTTACTACGGCAACGCTTTGGCCAAGGACCTCAATCCAGAGCGAAAGTGCAAACGTGAGTGTCATTTAAAACGTGAATGTAACTCTGTGGCACAAAATGAAGACATTTGATTGTTGATTTCGAGTGTGTAGTCACTACAGTAAGTAATAATGTGTATCAATAGCTTTTGCCTACCTATGAGGACAGTGTAATCTGAAATGGCTTACAATATGAAAATCAGCAAATGGCGTAATACATATACTGCATAGTGCCTTAATGCAAATGTAAAAAAGTAAACTCAAAGGAGTAGGAGACAGAAAGTACCATTAGCTCAGTATAAAAACTATAGAACTCTGTGTAAAATCAGTGATGCTTTGAGACTTCAAAACTGATATTAAATTGTTTTCGAGATGTTCAGCAACATCAAGCATTTATCCTTCAAAAACTTTGTTGCTCGCCTCATTAGAATGAAGACATTAAAAAAACATTTTGTGCATGATATATACAACATTCATCATTATGTGGGTGAGAAGAATTTTCTGAAATTTTTGTAACTCATGAAACAAATTGGTGGCATAACTTTTCTTGCATCATAAGGTTGTAAACTTATGTTTCTCAGCTTGTGCCTGTAACGTGGCTGGGACATCTGGTTCCCTGAATGACTGCCAGTCGGACACAGGACATTGTGTTTGCCTAAGTCATGTGATCGGAAGAGACTGTGGACAGTGCGAATCTGGCTACTTCAACCTGCAGCCAGGCTTGGGCTGTGAGATGTAAGTTTTGGTATCTATCTATCTATCTATCTATCTATCTATCTATCTATCTATCTATCTATCTATCTATCTATCTATCTATCTATCTATCTATCTATCTATCTATCTATCTATCTATCTATCTATCTATCTATCTGTCTATCTGTCTGTCTGTCTGTCTGTCTGTCTGTCTGTCTGCCTGCTTGTCTATCAGCCTGTCTGCATGTATGTCTGTCTGCCTGTTTATCGGCCCATAGACTAAATTGCTTAAATGCTGCATTCTCTTTTTCTTTTCTATAGGTGTAACTGCAATCCCATTGGCTCCTCCTCTTCAGCATGTCATCCAGTCACAGGACAGTGCATGTGTCGAACTGGTGTTTTGGGGGTGTCATGTGACACTTGTCGAATGGGATTCTTCGGTTTCTCCTCTAGAGGCTGCAGAGGTATTGAGTGTCACTGAACACACAATTGTCAAGTCAGATTTTCCCTTTTAAAATGCTTAATTTAAAATTGAATTGTTTATTTTACTTTTGTATTTTTTTTTAATTGTTAACATGATAAAATATGTAATGATAAACTGTGTAATAATCAATTTATTGTACTTTCAATTTTACCTTGCTATGATGTTCACTGACAGCCCATTCTCACTCCCAAGGCGTCACCTAACTGACGCCTTGGGAAGCATTTGGACATGCTTCAATATCTGACGCTTTAGGCGCCCTTTAGCGTCAGTTAGATGACGCCCTAGGATCGCGTGTACCCTACCCCCACCCCACACCTAAACCTAACCGCGTCCTCTAACTGACGCTTTCCTTTAGCGTCAGTTAGATGACGCCGTAGGATCGCGTCATGTAAGTGACGCTAAAGGGCGCCTAAAACGTCAAATATTGAAGCATGGTCAAAGGTGACGCCTTGGGGTGAGAATGCGTTGTCACTGAAGGCAAGTTTGTAGTGAACCCAAGTGCAGTTGACACCTTGTGGTTTGTGGACATGACCTTACAGGTGTCACAGCAAATAAATGACTTTGAGATGGCCAATATGGCCAAAATCTAATATCACGGTTTAGGTCCATTGACTTTACTTAGCTATTTAGGCCTACCATACATAGGTCTACTATAGTAGTGCCTGATTAACTGAAATTGATCATTTAAACTTAAGAACTTATAGGCTATGATAATATAGCCTACTATTTAATAAGGTTTTAAAAAATGCCACAGTAAATCAATTTATGGTGGAAATGTCACCTCTTTATGGAAAAGTTTTGTCAACATTGTTTTTGGAAGATACATTAAAAAATGCAGTTAGGTTCTGTAAATGGATCTACAATGCATGGCATAAAATGTGGTTAACAGTGGATAATTTGATGTGCTTCCATGTCAAAGTGTATGTTATCAGCGGATTCTGTTCATGTGTGCCCAGACATTTTAGAAATCCCGACCAGCTGATGTTTTATGGCCATGTCCGGAATAAAGAGTAGAACTATGTATGGTAGGCCTAAATAGCTAAGTGAAGTTAATGGACATAAACCGTGATATTAGATTTTGGCCATATTGATATCTCTAAGCCATTTATTTCCTGTGACACCTGTAAGTCATGTTCACAAACCTCTTGCGTAGTGTTTGGTCACACCACAAGGTGTCACTGTGGCCTCAAAGCTTCACTGCTGCCACTCTGAGCTTGATGGCTATGTCTGAGGTAAAACACGCCCCCCCCCCCCCCCCCCCCCCCCCCATTTAGCATACTGAGCAATAAATGTGTAAATAAATAAATATATAAATAAATAAATGAATCAATAAATAAATACATTTATAAATTAAAAAAAATTATAAATTATATATTTTTCCACATTTATTTATTTATGTTATATATATATATATATATATATATATATATATATATAAACACATATATAAATAAATAAATATATATTAAATTCATAAATAAATAAATTAAAAAATAAATAAATGTGGAAAAATTTATAATTACACATAAATAGGAAAATAAAAGTATAAATAGTCATTTATCTTTGTTTTTTTTTTTACATTTCTTTGCATATTTTTTTATTCGTTTTTAATTTTGATAGGTTTGGTCCTCCATACTTGTGAACAATGAAACAATGAACCAATGACAACACATAACACATGAATAGAACAGGGGATAACATGACAGACATGAATCAAAACCAAAATGTATTTTACTGTGAATTCAGCTCAGTAAAAATGATAACTATAACACGTTTTTTGATCAATTCTAGAAGTATTTAAACCAAAAAAATATATATTTTAAAAAATGTATAAAAATGAATGCATATCTAATATTCCATACATTTATCTAATAATATTATCTTAACATAATATCAATCTCCCACCTATAGCATGTAATTGTGACCCCATGGGCTCAACCTCAATGCAGTGCCATGACAACGGTACGTGTTCTTGTCGCCATGGGTTTGTCGGCTATAAGTGTGACAAGTGTGAACTGAACTACTACCAGAACCGCCTGACCCACCAATGTGAGGAGTGCCCTGTGTGCTACAGTCTCATCAGAGACCAGGTGGGTGAGAGAGATGATGAAGCATGAGAAATGATCTGTTTATGTAATGGTTGCCTAGCAGATTAAAAGTTCTCAATTACTTGTTATCTCACCCACTCATTAAGTTCCTTTGCTCAGATACTGCAGGTTCCTATGACCTACATCTTCCTACTTGTTCATATTGAGCATGAATGGGTGGTAACGCAAAGATGATTTTAGCTCTGCCCTTTAAATGATAGTGGAAAGCTCAGTGGGGTTTAATAACAAGGTGTGATAATCAAACCTACATCTACTGCTGTAATTGAGTACTTTGGGGGGTTTTTTTAATGTATATGACTACTTTTAAACATTGTCTCTAAAGTTTTGCTTATGTATTATTTATTTATTTTTACATTGTTACGTGTACAGGCCAGTAAACTGAAAGCCAGACTGCTGGATTTGGAGACGCTGCTCAGTGGTTATGACTGCAATAGATACAGTCGGCAGTATCGTGGGCGCCAGCAGCACAGGCACCAACATAATGGGCTGGACAATCATATACAGAAGGACCAGGTTGAAGACTATCTGCCCAATGCATTGGAGGACCTCCTTGCTATTCAAGGTGAAAAAAAAAAAAAAAAAACTTTAGACGAAAGTCCTTAAATGGATAGTTCACCCAAAATTGAAAATTCTGTCATCATTTACTCACCCTCAAGTTGTTCCCAACCTGAATAAATTTTTTCTTCTTTTGCTAAACACAAAAGAAGATATTTAGAAGAATATGGGTAAAGAAACAGTTGATGGGGACCAATACTATGGAAGTCAATGGGGTTCATCAATTGTGTGGTTACCCATATTCTTCTAAATATCTTCTTTTGTGTTCAGCAGAAGAAAGAACTTTTGGGTGAAATATGTTTTAGCCTCTTTTGCCCTGAGAATTCATTTTAAAATGGCATTTAATGGTAAAATACCGTTATTCTGTTTTTCTGAGGGTTGAACTAATCTAATATTATACTATAACATATAAGCTGTACGGTTTAAAAGGGGGCGGAATTTTTTAAAAATAATTTTAATGGTAACAGCATTTCACAATTTTAATGTTTTTTTACTGTATTTCTGATCAAATAGCATAAGAGACTTCTTTGAAAATCTCACGACACCAAACTTTTGAACAGTGTAATTTAAATCTAAAACAAATGTGTCCACTATGGTTTGGACAGTTACAATTTATCATAGTTTATTAAAGACAAATGTGGAAATATCAACAAAGTGAGATTTTCTTGTAGGATGCACATGCAAATTTGTGCCTTGTTTCAGCTTTGTTGCTTCTGCAAGTGACAGTTGTTTTGTTGGAAACTCACTGCTGATGCAACACTGATGTTTCTTCTTTGATGCAGAAGCTCGTGAGGCCTTCATTAAGCAGTTCTCACAATTGGAAACATCTGCCCAGACCTTACAGCTACAGCTGCATAGCATTGCAATAGCGCTTAACTGCAATTTGACAGACAGTGGAAAAGAATCAGAGAAAGGAAAGACTCTAAAGGGTGAAAATGAGTGTCAAGAGCTTCTTGACACTTTATCCGCTGCTCTGAATATGCAGGACCAGCTTCAGAAGATGACTCTTGACCTTAACAGCATGGTGAGTCTGCACGGATCAATTCAATGAGTGTCTTATCCATCTGACCAGAGAACATGTCTTAATGGAGATGTCTCTGTGATTCTCTTCAAACATCTTATTCTCAGGTCATCCCTTCTGTAATCCCTAAAGAACCAAACAAATGGAATGCCATAGTGAACGAATCTGAGGTGCTAGTGAAAAGGTTTGCAGAAATTTTGACTACAAATCTATCATAATGAAGATTCAAGTTTTAAATGTGACTTCTGCAAAACATGGTTTATACACTGATGTTATAAAAAAAATGTTTTCAACTTAAATTACATTAAAGTGACTTTAAAAAATAAGTTTGTATAACAAAAAAGTTGCTGTCATAACTTATTGACCATGTGTAATGTTTTCTTTTAAAAGTCACACAGACATGGCAGCTTATATAGAGCAGACAGCAGGGGATGCCTTTAAAATGGCTAACAGAACCTATTCACAGCTGATCATTCTACTAGAAGACAACTCCACAGAGTCTCATGTACAGGATCTCACAGAGAAGTGAGTTACATTATGTTTGAGTGTGTATGCAACAAACTCATTTTGCGGTTCTTTGGGTATTGGCCCTTAATAACTCATTTGAAATGTCACTCTCTATTTTTGTCTGAAAGGCTAGAGGAGATGCAGCAGTTAAAGGAGAATCTGACTCTTGGGGTTAATGAGACTTTAGTGACACATCTGTCACTTCAGAGGCACAACTCTGAGATAGCCGCCATTTTAGAGAACATCACTGCTTCACTATCAGAACTACGCACAACAGAAGGCAATTTCACCCTTGCAGAGGAGGAGTTCATTATAACATCTTTCTCAAAGATGTTTAATCAAACAAATGTCACAGCAAACCAGGATACAGAACTTACAAAGGTTTGTCCATGTAGTCTCAATGGAGATAATCAGCCCATTCTCACCCCCAAGGCGTCACTTAACTGACGCCTTGGGAAGCATTTGGACATGCTTCAATTTCTGATGCTTTAGGCGCCATTTAGCGTCAGTTAGATGACGCCCTAGGATCGCGTGTACCCTACCCCCACCCCACACCTAAACCTAACCGCGTCCTCTAACTGACGCTTTCCTTTAGCGTCAGTTAGATGACGCCGTAGGATCGCGTCATGTAAGTGACGCTAAAGGGCGCCTAAAACTTCAAATATTGAAGCATGGTCAAAGGTGACGCCTTGGGGTGAGAATGCGTTGAGATAATGGAACTGCTTTTGATGCCTTAAAGCAGTAGTTCACTTTAAAAAAAAAAAAACGTTTGCTGATATTTTACTAACCCCCCTGTAATCCAAGATATCCATGTCATTCTTTCTTCAGTCGAAAAGAAATTGAGGTTTTTGATTAAAACATTCCAGGATTTTTCTCCATATAATGGACTTCAATGGGAACCAAACGGTTCTTCTGTGCCAAAAGACAGTTTCAGTGAAAACTGCAAACTGTTCAAGGGGCTTTAAACGATTTCAGACGATAAATAAGGGTCTTATCAAGCGAAACGATCGCTCATTTTTAAAAAAATTACAACGTTTAAGTTTTATAAGCACAAATCGCCTTGCTCTGTTCTGTGATGCGCGTTTGTGACTCTCCTGTTCGAACTCGTTTATCAAAATGAACAAATCTTTTTTTCATGTCATTTGGTTCATTGAACGTCTGAAATCATTCAAAGCCCTTTGAACAGTTTGCAGTTTGCGCTGAAACTGTCTTTTGGATCTTAAACCGTTTGGTTCCCATTGAAAATCCTGGAATGTTTTAATCAAAAACCAATGCCGCAAAGTGAATGGCTTACCTTTCACACATCCCCATAAATTGATCGTGAGCATCATCTTCTCAGTTCTCGCACATGCGTCATGACGCTTTATCTTAATTAATATCTTAATTTGTGTTCCGAAGATGAATGAAAGTCTTACGGGGTTAGGGTGAGTAATTACTGACGGAATTACATTTTTTGGGTGAACTACCCCTTTAAGTCTGTGAAAGCGGGGGTAATTGGTGGTCAACAGGCATGCATTTTTATTAAAGGGATAGTTCACCCAGACTGAAAATTGTCATTATTTACTCACCCTCAAGTTGTTCCAAACTACCGAACTGTCCCTTTAAATAATTCAAATCTCAAACATCGGTTTGTGGAAAACATAAATTAGTGAACAACAGGACACCACTAGTGCTTTATCATCATTTGAGTCTTTGGAAGCATTCATAAACATTATTTTATGGTCTAATTTTATGGTGTTTTAAGGAAAATAAGTGCTCTTGTCTTTGCACAATCTAAGACACATATTTATGTGGACTGTCTCCTTGTGTCTGCTAACAAGCAGTGAATTTATTCAGAAAGTTCCTTACCAGATGTTTTTCATAAGGAAAAAGTATTGGATTTAAAAAAAATTATATATCATATCTAATGCCTGTCCATTGTTTGTTTCTTTTGTTGTAAAACACTTTGATTTTGCCATGAAACTAGCTAATGATGCTGATATGACTAAAAATTACAAGAATAAAAAAAGGTTCTGAATTCATCTGAATTTCAGAGCGAGGACCTGATGAACAGGACAACCGAGTTGGACGCTTCTGTTCAGTCAAAAGAGCTCATGATAAATATGACTATAGAGGAAATTCAGCCTCACGTGGACAGTGCTGAAAAACACCTGAAAACTGTTCAAGAGCTCAAAGAGGTAAAGCTTTACTGCACTATCAAAGAATTATAAAAAAGTCCTAGTAATTAGAGGTCTAGCAGTTCTTTCATCCTGTGAATTTTAGCACCTCCTGCCAGTCAGTGTGGTGGGAAATGTTAAAGCATGAGAGAAAAAACAACAGGGATGTTCTCAGCTCAAAGCAAATTCAAATGTGACAATTTCCTGTCAAAAGAAAGTGTAATGAGATGCATCTTTTGTCTTTTTATCTGAAGCTGACGGCTGCGGCTGAGGGATTTAAGGTGTCAGCCGTCTCCTCTGTGGTGACAGGGAAAGAGGTTGAGGCGGAGTTCCTGTCTCTACAGAAGGTTCTGGAAGGTAACCATTTCTGCTTTATACTTCTTTTATATTTTCGCTGTTGATCACAGACTCCATTTCTCAAATTATGACACTAGACAAATTAGATAAATGAAGCATTTATAATGAACAAATTAAAGAAATGTAGAAGTAAAAAGACTAATATTGTAGTGGACTGATATGGTAAAAAGACTAATATGGTTGAGGACTGAGAAATACAGCAGAAAGGTGTACAGTAACACTATAGTTCAAAAGTTTAGGGTCAGTTTTTTTTCTTGTCTTGAAAGCATGGCCAGGACAAGTATTTTTAATTTTATAAATAATTTCTATTTCGAATAAATGCTGTTCTTTTTAACTTTCTATTCCTCAAAGAATTCTAAAAAAAACCTATCATAGTTGGTGCAAAAACATTAAAGGAGCAAACTGTTGATAATAAGAAGAAATATTTATTGAGCACCAAATCAGCATTAGAATAATTTCTGGAGGACCATGTGACACTGAAGACTGTTTCTGCCATCACAGGAATAAATTACATTTTAAAATATATTAAAAATAGAAAATAGTTATTTTAAATTGTAATAATATTTCACAATACTACTGTTTTACTGATTTACTGAACTGAAATAAATGCAGCCTTAGTAAAAAAAAAAGAAAAAAAAGGAGACTTGTAATAATGGAAGAAAGAACATGTGAAAATGTTAAAATGTACTATACATTGTAATAATGTTCTCTGCTGTAGACATGGAACAAGACTGGCCTCGGCTGCCTACACTCAGCAAAGGGTATCTGAAGAGAGAGAAGTTGCTGAAAGAGAAGACCCTGGTGGATGTGAAAAAAAAAGTCAAGCAGACGGAGAAAATGATCAAACCTGCTGTGGAAAACGCTACGGCTGCGAGCAGCACAGCTAAACAAGCAAAGGAGTCTGCAGATGCAGTGGCTAAAGTAGGCTATGCATGAAGGGGTTATGATGGTTCTAAAAAATAACATTATTTTATGTATTTGGTTTAATGCAGTGTTTTAGGTTCAAAAAAGTAATTATTTTACACATATTGTACATCATTGTTGCTCCTCTATGCCCCGCCTTTCTGAAACACGTCGATTTTTACAAAGCTCATCGTTCTGAAAAGTGCAGTGTTCTCTGATTGGCCAGCGATTCAGTGCATTGTGATTGGCCCAAAAACCTTAAGCGTGTTATGGAATGTCACCATATAGAACATCAGCTCATCTTCGGAACACAGTTTAAGATATTTTAGATTTAGTCCGAGAGTTTTCTGTCCCTCCATTGAAGATGTATACATGGTATACTGTCCTTGTCCAGAAAGGAAATAAAGACGTCATCAAATTCCATTTAATTCAATTCAGTAGGACACTAGTGGGTCAGTTACAATGTTTTGAAACATCGAAAATACATTTTGGTCCAAAAATATTTTTAAACAAATGAATTTGTTTAAAAAATAAACAAAATTGCTTTGTTTTAAGCGTGCGTCTCCCTCAGACTGTAAACGAAGCTCGGGCGCACTGATAACATGTCAGCAGAGTCTTACGTCAGTAGCGTCACTGAACACGGCTTGACAACAGAACCGGAAGAGAATACAATGCTGAATAAAGTTTATTTAGTTTGTTTGGTAGTTTTTGTTATTTTTGGACCGAAATGTATTTTCGATTTTCGTCTTTAGTTCCTTTCAAGGACAGTAGCTTTCATAAATTTTCAATGGAGGGACAGAAAACTCTCGGACTAAATCTAAAATATCTTTAAATGTGTTCCGAAGATGAACGGGGGTCTTACGGTCTTGGGACAACATGAGGGTGAGTCATTTTGGGTGAAATAACCCTTTAACTTTTATAAAGAATTTATTTTTAGGTTTGAGACTTTGAGCTTTTGTCTACACTAAAGAAAAAGGAAAAACAAGAAATCGCATCATATGACCCCTTTACTCATTGTTAAACTCATTTAGTCATGTTTCTTGAACTGTCCAAATGACAAATAATATTAGTTGGTAACATTTTTATGTTAGTTGGTAAGTCCCTAAACCCCAATATGTGTATAGACACTGCATTGCCTCGAGGAGCCTAGACTGAAACAGGAACTGATGGGAACTAAAAGACTTGTTATACTTTTATTCATGACAGGATGCCAAGGCATCTCTCACACAGGGGAAACGGGCAAAACATGCATCTGGACAGTTGCGTTCAGCTGTGGACATCACCATGGAGCAGTTGACTGAGCTGGAAAGCCAATCTGTGCAAAAACAGGAAACCATGGAGGCAGAGGAAGTAAACAATTTGTCATTAACTTGCCGATGTTTGACCAGTTGAAATTGCCAATGTTTGACCAGTTGGCTTTAACCTTAATGTCATTATTATTAGAACGCAGACTTCTGCAGGACATTCAGTACCACCACTCTGTTTAGGGGGTTTGAGACACTGCAGTACATGTACCAGAGAAAAAAAATCGTATCATACATGATGCTCATCAGTAATGTCCTGATTAGGTGGTCGAGGAGGTTGTTTTTGCATTGCCATGATGTTGATGTGCCGTTTCTCCTCAGGACATGGTTTCTTCAAGGAGTGTGATAAACAAAATGGAGACAGCCAAGAAGCAGCTAGAGTCTTTTACAAACACGCTAACTCTGCTCCTTAAACAACTGGGTAAATTCACAATCGAATTTTATTTATTGTTTTATCCTTTCAACCCTATAGGACAAGCTGTTTTCAGGATGAACAGATTGATTTATTTTTATTTAATTTTATTTGATATATATATATATATATATATATATATATATATATATATATATGAAGAGTTCAGATGCAAAAGCCTCTAAATGCCATTTGAAATTTTCTTCTTTAATGATGATTTTTGTCGAACTTGTATATTTAAGTTCAGTAATTTCACTTAAATAACAATTAATAGGTAATTATCATTGCCATTTAAGTGAAATCACTGAACTTAAATATACAAGCTTGACAAAAATCATCATTAAAGAAGAAAATTTCAAATGGCATTTAGAGGCTTTTGCATCTGAACTCTTCATATATATATATATATATATATATATATTTTTTTTTTTTTTTTTTTTTTTTCATATATTTGTTTTATTCCTAAATAGGTGAAGCTGTTTGGAGGATGGTTTTTGTTTTGTTTTGTTCTGCTTTTTTTTGTACTGTATGTTATTTTGTTGAGTTTTTTGCTTTGTTCTGATATTTTGTTTTATTTTATTTTATCCCTGCAATCCTTCATAGGTAAAGCTGTTTGGAGGGTAAATTTAGTGGGGGTTTTTTTTTCAATTTGTTCTGTTTTCAATGTGTTTTATTTATTATGTTTAGTTTTAGTTTTGTTTTATTTTATTTTATTTTTAGTGTGTTTTTATTTAAATATTTTGATTTGTTTTATATAATTTAGTTTCTTTCAGGGTTTTTTTTTTCTCAAAAAGATGAAAAAAATTCTTCCAATAAATTAATAATCTCAAATTAATACTCTTCTCCCATTAATGTTGGCAGAAGCTAATGTGGTGCTGGAGAACTACGATCGTATCCTGAATGAGACCGCATCCCGTCTTCATGTTCTCCAGGCGGCTGTGGAGAGTCCGTCTCTCACTGGAAAGATCCAGATGCTTCGTACCGCAGCACACGATCAAGAGAAACAACTGCAAAATCTTGAACAGAACCTGCAGGACATACGAGAAGAGAGAGACAGTCTGACAGACATCGCCCAGAACTTGCCCAAAACATGCCCACAAAAAGGGCACTGAGCTGGTGGGAGGAAGAAGTCTATCAGTTCTCTAGTCTTGTTAGTCACCTCAGAAAATCAGAATCAACGAAAGCTATAGAAAAAAAAAAAAAGCCTGGGAAAACCCAGACAACTTCTGGCAAATTTAGATTTGCTCTGCAAATTAATAACTCAGTTACAAACTGAGATGGTCTGGTTTTAACCAGGCTAGAAAAAAATGGAACAAACCTCTGTATTCTTCTTTCAGCTGTGTCTGTTATAAAAGCAAATCTGAACATATAAATGACACATTATAATGTAAATTGTTTATAAACATGCATTTGTGAAGGCAGAGTGACTTTATTTACTTATTTACTCTAGTGGTAAGAAGTCAAAAATCCAGGTGAATGCATTTATACACTAGCACTTTGAATTGAAATCACCAGTATAGTTAAACATAATGTCAGTGTGATCAATACTGTGATTCTATATAGAATAACACTGAAATTTGAATATTGATGTTTTGCAGACTTAATTATAAGTGTACTGTAGTAAAATGCAACTTTCCCATACATTTACCCAAAACTAATGGTCATTCCTGTAAATATCCCGTCCTTTTTTTGGCCACTTGGGGGTGCCATCTACACAAATTAATGTGGTTGTTTTAATTTACACTGCTGCATAGGAGTTTGAAAACTGAAAATAATTATGGTTTAATTGTCAGTAAATCAAGATCAAATAAACATATTGCGTCATGCTGCTTTCAATATAGTGTGATCATACATTGAACATCACTACTTTTGAGCATGTTGATATGCAACATTACTTATTTAATGTCTAACATGGCATATTAAATATTTATTTTTGTGCTTATTATCCATCTGTTCATAAATTATTATTATTACAAAAGGAATTGGCTATGAATAGCTTTAACTTTCCATTATTTGGAATTATCAACATGGATGTCTGTGTGGCTATTGTTTGCTTCTTTTCAGTTTTGATGTATATTGGCTTATTGCAATATGCTTCCTGTGAAGACTGAGCTTTTCATTTATTATCTCCCATTCACTGAGCTAATACTGTTATTAACCCCATAAACCAAAGACTACACACCTTATCTTCCATTTTAATACAAAAAGGAAAAAAAAATATGAAAAAAACAGAAAACCAAACTGATCAGTTCACACTTTAAGTCTATAACACGTATTCATATTGCATCACAAAAATAACCTGCGGTCATAACATATGTCATATGTACAGATACTTATCAAAGATCAGAACAGTTACAGAGCTAGCTACATGTTTAACGTTGATGCACTGGCTGGCTCCATAAAGATACTAGGCCTACTTGGCTATGTTTTAATACAAAATACGATACTTAAAGCTGTAAAAGGGACAGTTCAGCCACAAATGAAAATATCGTCATTATTTACTAACCCTCAAGTTGTTCCAAACCATTATGAGTTTCTTTTTTCTGTTGAACACAAAAGAAGATATTTTAAAGAATGTTGGAAACCAGACCGTTGACAACACCCATTGACTTCCATGGAAGAAGAAGAAATAGTATGGAAGTAAGTGGGTGTTGTCAACTGTCTGGTTTCCAACATTCTTTAAAATAACTTCTTTTGAGGTTTGAAACACGATGAGTGAGTAAATGATGACAGAACTTTCATTTTGGGTGCACTATCCCTTTAAGAATAGCTGTCGAACCAAATGTTGAAGGTCTCAATGACACAATTAAATCGGTCTGATGAAACCACCCTAGTCACGTACATTTATTTGTCACATGGACAACGATAAGTCATGTAACAGTAATTGCACAAAATGAAATGTTTCTGACTGCAGGTCAGAGCAAAGACAAAATCACAGTTATAAACTGAGATTTAAAACGTACACGCTAAGATGAGATAGATAAGAGACATGAAATAAAATACTATTAGTATTTTAATAAGAGCGTGAACTAAAAAATGCAATATTTGCAGCAGTGAAAATACAATATAGTACGATATGTGCTAAATGTACTTTATTAAAATATATAATCACGGCCCTTCCCTTTGGCCTGCATTACCTCTCTTCACCACACGATGGCGTTTGTGGCTGCATTCCTGGCGCTGGCGGGCAGTGAGCGCATCATAGGGAGACCTGCGCGGCGCGCCTCCGACTCTAACCAGCGTGAGATTCCCCCTCTCTCCTCATAACCGACACGAGTGTTCATCCATCGCCGGTCTCTCCTCCTTCATTACCTCCTCTCGGCCATACCAGCATGCCTTCCAACCAGGATTTACAAGGTATATGGTTGTCGCTAATCTGTTTTTAGTAAACTGATGCTTTATTTACGCGCGAAGCATGTTTTTGTACTGTGCGTGTGTGTACGCGCGTCGTTAGCGGCCGACTGTCCTTATCTCATGCCTGCAAGTGTACCAGACAACCTGGATAAAACATCCATGTCTCCTTTTCAGGCGGGAAAGCCTTCGGGTTGCTCAAAGCACAACAGAGGGAGAAGCTGGACGAAATCAATAAGGTAAATAAGCTAACGCTGATAAGATATTTTTGTCTCAATCTCGAAGCGATTTTATTTCATTCGCATTGAACCGTCTCCATTCAAGCTTGTGTTCCCAAACGCTTTGTCTGTAAACATCAGTAAGGTTTTTAATTTGACTTCTCCTCTTCACCGTGGTCACTGTTAAATGTTATTTTGGACAGCAGTAGTATTGTTAAGCTCGGTTTTACAGCAACATGACCTAATTTAGTTAGACAGCTCGACCACATTAAGCCGCAGATCATTTCACAATCCAGGGCAAGGCTGCGTCTCAACCTATTGAGCTGCCTACTAAGTCAGGATTTTCTCCATATTTCTGCTCCATGCACGAGACTGAAAATGATCAAAATCCCTGTCTCGGTAACTTAGGCAGCAATAATTAGGATTTGAGAGAGAGCTCAGCTCAACCCGCCCAAGAGTCCTCCACAACGGCGTAAAGGCTTAGTTCACCCCAAAATGAAAATAATCCCAATTTTAATTCACCCTCAAGCCATTCTAGGTGTATATGACTTTTTTTTCCCTCAGCCAAACACAATCAAAGTTATAATAAAACATATCCTGGCTCTTCCAAGCTTTTATAATAGGAATAAATGATGCCTTGTTTTTTGAAATGCAAAGAAGTGCATCCATCCATCCATCATAAAAGTAACCCATTTGGCTTCAGTGGGTTAATAAAGTCCTTCTGAAGCGATGTATGTTTTATTAGAAAAAAAATCTCCATATTTATAATTTTATAAACTAGAATCTCTAGCTTCTGGGTGCAAGACTAGTTCCAGTGGATCAGTGACCTCACCCGACGCATGACATATTGCCGAATGTGGAAACACAGAGGACAGAGCAAAACAAAACACCAGTCCCGAATTAGAAGACTGAAATAATTTGTAAAGAGAAATGTTAAAGGGGCTTGAGTTTGTTGGCCAGCCATATTTGTTTGAAGCGCAAGAAGCATCTACTCTCATTTAAGCTTATGCTACTCCTACATCATACCGTATGTTGGCTCTTGACTCTCATGGATTGCTGTTATAGGAAACTGATTACAGTTTAAAAGTTATAATTATGGGAATTTTCTGTACAAAATTGCACCACTTCGCTTTAGAAGGCCTTTATTAACCCCCTGGAGTAATATGAATTACTTTTATGATGGTGTTGGATGCACTTTTTGGGGGGTTTCAATAAACAAGGTACCATTCACTCCCAATAAATAAAAATAGTGATAGGGTGGGAAGACCTGTCAATCACATCACAGAAAAGACTCGAAAAAAGATCACTAGATCAAGAGTCATAAATGTGCTTCACAGAACAGAGCAAGGCGAGGATTTGTGCTTATAAAACTTAAACCTTTTATTTTTAAATGGCCGATCGTTTCGCTAGATAAGACCCTTTATTAATCGTCTAGTGTTGTTTAAAGCCCTTTGAAGCTGCACTGAAACTGTCATTTGGTCCTTGAAACAGTTGGGATTCATTGAAGTCCATTATATGGAGAAAAATCTTGTAATGTTTTCATCAAAAACCTTAATTTCTTTTCGACTGAAGAAAGAAAGACATGGACATCTTGGATGACATGGGGGTGAGTAAATTATAAGCAAAAGTTTTTAAAAGTGAACTAATCCTTTGAGAGGTGAACTGGTCTTGGGCGTTTCGTACAATCCCAGACCTTTACGAAAATCCCAAGAGGCTTATTTTCTTGACCCGTGTTATTTTAAAGCTAATATTTAAAATCAGCCCTCTTTGAAGCGATAAGAGGCAGCGTGTCCCCCTGCAGCCGGCTGTCTCTGTGCTTTCAGACGGGAAACAGGTGTCTCTGATCCAGCATGAATAGACCCATTATGTAGGAGAGGGATTGAGGAGTGGGCAGCAGTGGCATTTGAGCTGCAGTCTTAGCTCTCTATCTCTCTCTCTCGTGGACTGCGCAGCTGGTGGGAGTGACAGCTTGGTTTGGTCACATGGACAAATTAGGTCATGGTCTGGCTGGCCTACATCTGGAGCACTTACCTGCACATAGTGTAGAGGGAAATCTCTGGAAATGAATCAAGAGCATGTTACATTTCACATTAAATGTTAAATTATATAAAAGACAATTTAGCACCATTAATGTGTAACTCAACCTTTGGTCAGAGCCTAACTCCACCCACTGGCAATATTTGAAAAATTCTGGAAAAGAAACTAGGCAGAGCCCAGTTGAGACAAAGAGGACAAACCGAGGGCAGGGCTGAGTGGGGGCGTGCACTTGAGACACGCAGTGGCGGATTGATTGACACACACACATAATTTCCGGGCGGGACATGTCCCCACCACTTTTTTTCCCAGGGTCGATTGTTTCCCCACCACTTTTGAGACCTCTTGCGGCATGGATGTACCAATTAACATTTTTGCTGCTGTGATCAGTGCTACGTACAGTGTTTGCTTGTGGCTCGCGCACAGTCTTCACACTGGCGCACGCTTCAATCCGTTGTGGAGAAACTCTATTTGATCCGGTGAAATCACAAAACAAAATGCACACACACGTGTCCCTGCTTGATATATAACCACTGAACATAATCAGTTTTGATGAGGGAAAAAAAAAACTATTCTAAAAATTTTACCACTGGACAATTACAGTACATGCGTAGAATAGTCGGAGAAAGGACTAAGTTAACATGAAACAATCCAACTACATATGTTACACCACTGACAAGGGAAAAGACACAACTCACGGTGTATGTAGCAAGCTTCTAGGTTTCTGCGGCTTCTCTTTCTAGGTAGTGACGAAACGCGCTCTGCAGCGATGTTTGTTCGAGTTTGCTACTGTAGAAACATGATGTCACAATATGTCGATGGGGGTGCCCGTGGTTATGTAGATATAAATGTCTCATTCTAAGGTAAAAAAAAAAACATTTCGGTTTATTAAGTTCTTTATATACCACTGAAAACATAGTTATGGATGTCATATTGCATTTCTGTGAATATCCTGTCAGGACTCTTTTTAAAAAAAAAATTAAATTAATAAATTATGGTACAGTACCATCATTTATTAACTTGACTGTGATGACTGTGCCAAAATTTATTTGACTGATGATTGTGCCAAAATTAGCCAATCGTCCAGATAGCTCATAATTCACAAGGGGGCGAGAGTGTTTTCATTGCGTCCCATCTTCTTAGCGACCACTGGAGCCAGCTGATAAATGAAACTTTTGCCGAATCCTGTGGGAAAGACGGCAAACACATCTTTCCAATCGACAAATGCCTTGATTGCAGTTCTCTGTTCGTCTTGTAAAATAAATAATCAACAGCGCATTAATTTTAAAACAGATGCGATAGCAGAATCTATACATCTGCAGTCATAATTGAGTTCAACCCACTCTTTGACAACGTGATGATTATGTAATTTCTGATCATCTGTCCATCATCGTATAAAGTCCATCCTGGCAATTTGATTGATCCAACCATTCCTGAACCGATCATAATTACCTCTTGGGCTGGCATCCAGGCTAAAATATTGCAATATTTAGCCACACAAAAATCATTGCAAGGGAATTCCTTCACCAAAACAGCCCTTGATGCTTACTTATCTGAGGTCTCAGTGATCAAATTTCACTGGCTGCAAACCAGTGAAAAGCAAACAGTGTGCATATCAAATGAAACAAACTCACAGTTTCAAGTTTTGGTGTGAAGGAATTTTGATGAGTAGTCGCGACTGAGGTAGAAGGCTCTTCATCTCTGACTCAGAGGGCTGATTCTCACAGCATAGTTTTAATGAATAATAATTAATTGATTGATGCTCCTTTGGAACCTATAAATCCACATATTACACGCATGCTGTTTGCTTTTAAAGCCTTCACTTAGAGAACAGCATCTCCCACCACCCATAATCAATATCCACTCACACACACACCCACACACACTGCGTGATCGCCCTTATACTCATACACACATTTTCTCTAATGCTTCAAATAGTGAAGTCCCATATCACGCATGTGGATCTTTGATTTATAGGCCTCAGTCGGAATCCTGTCATGTCATAGATCATTAAAGGACAACTCCGGCGCAAAATGAACCTTTGGTCTAATTACACATTGTTACCTAGTCAACCATTATCTGAGATTTGTTTTCATGATTGCTGAATGTAAATAGTTTTATCTCTAAAAACAGTTTAGCCTATAACGCTAGTATAATGCTAGTACATAGGGCATAGAGTAATGACAAATAAAAATCGCTTGTTATTACCACTAACAAGGCTCAAAATAGCCCCACACAAACACGACAGCATAATAAGAGTCCCTACATTCAAACCGAAGCATTGAGAACTTTGTCAGTGTCCATACAGTTTAATAAGAAGATATTTTATACACACAGTCAACTTCGCGAATACAGGAAGAAGCCATCTTTGAAAAATAGTCTCTACCAGTCGATCTACGAACACCGAACCATGTGCGCTGGTGAGATGTGAATAAGGTGATAAGGTGAGCGCGAAGAGTAGGCTACGTGTACATATTGAAGAGAAGAAAACGGTTCGTGTTTGTGTTTCTTCCGAAAACAACGGACCATATGAGATTCTGCACAGTTCAGTGCACTTGGATCGGCGCTCGTAGATCGACTGGTAGAGACTATTTTTTTAAAGATGGCTTCCTGTATTCGCGAAGTTGACTGTGTGTATAAAATATCTGCTTATTAAACTGTATGGAGACTGACAAAGTTCTCAATGCTTCGGTTTGAATGTAGGGACTCTTATTATGCTGTCGTGTTTGTGTGGGGCTATTTTGAGCCTTGTTAGTGGTAATAACAAGCGATTTTTATTTGTCATTACTCTATGCCCCATATACTAGCGTTATACTAGCGTTATAGGCTAAACTGTTTTTAGAGATAAAACTATTTACATTCAGCAATCATGAAAACAAATCTCAGATAACGGTTGACTAGGTAGCAATGTGTAATTAGACCAAAGGTTCATTTTGCGCCGGAGTTGTCCTTTAACAGAGATTTTAGAATAAATCGACTAGTGTTGTGTTAGTCTTAGTTCTGCTTTTTCTTTTTAGTGGCGGCCAAACGACATGTACAGTAATGATGTACTGCCGCTCGTTGTATATGTGTGTATGAAATGTATTTTTCCCCCCTGGGCTTGCCGTAGATGGGAATGGTTCAATTGCTGCACAAAACATACTGTAAATAATTCATTAATTTCATTTCATTTGTTTATTTATTTCAGGCAATGGCACAGAAGTACAAGACAGGGATACGTCCTTTTGTGACTTGGCTTAACATTACCATGCGCAGCTGCGCACGAATTGTCTTATGCGCGCGCGAGGTGTCTAGATTATGCACATGATTTAAACGCTGGCAATCACAGCAGCAGCAGTTGTAGGGAGGTATATTGATCATGAAATCAGAATGTTCTTGCCTTTAATTAGTCATTCATTCATATTAATCCATTAATTTGTCACTTAATTCATCTAAAAAAACATTTTCAACTCGATTGGGGGGCCCCCTGGTGGCAAAGGGCCCACATCAGCCGCTTAGTTTGCTTATGCCTCGGGCCAGCCCTGCCAGTCCTGTTGTGTGAACATGCCAAAAAGTGGGTGATTCCGCTATTAGTTATAAGAACTGTGAGAAGGTTCCTCTGGTGTGAAAGACCCATATGAAATCATCAGTTGTTTTCAATGAAGCCACATACTCATATGGGTCTTTATACATGTCGATATATAGCTGTCTTTTGTTTAGGTTGGGAATCATTATATTTGGGTGTCCATCAAAAAGTTTTAAAGGCACTGTTCTAGAGAATAAAACTACATGGTTTTCTGCCATGAGGAAGAACAACCATAATAACTTGATAATCATTCATCCACCCCGTCTTTCCAGTTAGAGATCATGCTCACTTTTTCACTCTCTATTTGCAGGAGTTTATGGAAGATCAGAAGTACCGGGATGAGGAGGATTTACCAGAGAAGTTGGATTCTTTTAAAAGTAAGAGTTGCAGATTAAAGGATAGTTGAAATATTTTTAAAACACATTTTCTCCGTTCATATGCGCACGTTTAATTGTTTGTGGCGTGAATGCTAAGAGAGCTTGAGTGGGTGTTTAATCATGTGTGATTTACTTGCTTTCTTCATATGGTCTAGCAGGAATGTGCTGGTCTTGGCCCCTTGTTGTTTTAGCGCTAAGGGTTTTGGACATGTGCTTTTTGTGGGACAGAAAATGACGGTTTGTGTGTGTGTGTGTGTGTGTGTGTGTGTGTGTGGGAAAGGACAACTGGAATGTAAACGAACAGTCCTCTGAGTCTTTTGGTCAAAGCTTAAATGTGGTTTTGCTTTTCTCTGTGCAAAACCCTCATGGGAACTTCAGCCACCTGAATCCTGAAGTCATCTTCCTACTCTTTGTTATGTTAACCCTTCCCAAAAGATGACCCATCAAGGTTTGGAGTAAATATTTACTTTTTCCAGGTAGTGTTGTTCAGAGTAAGAAATGTTTTTCTTTGTAATAATTAATAATAACTGTCTCTGTTTTGTTTTTTAAACGGATGGGATGCTTGGGAAAAAAGAAGTGTTTTGTATTTACACATTAGAACTCTAAAGCAAGTGTAAAGACTCTGGGGTGGATCTGATCATTGGGGAATTTGCATTTCATAATTAATAATTGATAATTAATAATTATTCATACAGGTATATCTCCTGATGAGGGATGATGTGTTATTTTACCTGTATGCATGTGTATCTTGGTAATTAACCACATGTGATTGCAATTAATTACACAGATCATGTTTTACAAACAGGTAAAAATTAATTAGCTCAATTGTCAGAATTATATTTGTGGGGATTAATTTATGATCGACCCATCTGCTTGTCCTGCAAGCTTGATCATTCGATCTCCATCAAAACCCACAATATCATCCTACTTTATAAATTTTCAGGAAAAAACAATCCTGTGGCCACAAGGATTACATTTCCTGTTCTATAAAAAATACTCTTTAAAGTATCTTTACTTTGTAAGCTTGCAGCTAAGATCTAGGCATTTCAGGGACTTGAACTATGAGCAAAACACAGTCAATCAAAACAGTCAACAGTCAAACACAGTCAATCTCTCTCTCTCTCTCTCTCTCTCTCTCTCTCTCTCTGTCTCTCTCTCTCTGGGTTTGGGTTTGTGGGTCATTATCAAGAGGGAGTGATCAGGTTAAAGGGGTCAAGTGGCTCTGAATGTTACAGTGATTTCTTGTTGGGCTGCACGAATTTGAAAAAAAAAAAATGTAATACGGTAATGCTTGAAGTGTGTAAAATAAACTTAAAATATATTTAAACATTTTAACCTAAATATGTTTCACATTCTTTTTGTGACAAGAAAGATCCATACACCTTCTGAAAGTGAACAAGCAGTGTTTTACTGTAGCATAAGAAGTGTTATTTTTACGTCAGTGTAAACCACTGGGTTTAGGGTTTCAGGTAGGCCTATATTAGGTTTATTTAACAACAGAAACTGAATAATCAAATGTAAAAATAAAACACTGCTTAGTTTTCACTTTATGAAATACTGACTCTTATTTAAGCTACAAAATTTAGAGCAGTTTGTCTTTTGTTCATGACCCCAGTTATTACAAGCTGTTGCGATATGCATATTGTGATAGTTCTATATATTGTGCAGCCCTAATTTCTTGTCAAACAGGAGGAGAAAACCACTGAAAGGACAGAAGTCAAAGGCACAAGGGACAGGAGTAGAGCACAACCCTTGAGATTGCTCTTGACACTGTGGAAATGAAGGCTTATGATCTCTCTCTCTCTCTCACACTCACACACACACACACTTTGACCCACTAATGTCTGTATGTGTGTTTGCAGTCGCTGCCCTAGCTATATCCAGAAATGAAATGTTTTTGGAGGAATAGAATAGGCTACAGTTGAGAATGAGGGGATGCTATCCAAAAAACAAAACCCACCAAAAAAAGATTCAGGGAAAATTATGAGTTACAGTTAGGCAGCATCAGTGCGTTTCGATGGACGACCTCTCTTGCCAGCTCTGTTTCACACGCACTCATTCAGCTCGGGGCTGAACAGGCTGTGTTTGTGTTCACAGGGGGCCATTGTAACATTCTCCTTCCCATCAGCCTCCTCTCACGGTGACTCCGTTACACTTTCAATGTGTCCACTCCAACAGAAGCTACATTGTGAGATTGAAACAACACAGAATGAGAAAGGAGGAGGAGGAGAGAGAGCGAGCGAGGGGAAATACTCTGGAACTAGAATAATTTAGCAAAATCAAATAGGACAATGATTCAGATCTGGTACTAGCTGTCCTCATTTACAGATATAGCTGGCCATCCTTTTGTGAAATAAAGGCCTAATTTCAGTTAATAGCTAAAAAATGCAGGGCTTTCCAAAATTCCTCTGTTTCCCTCTGATTCCCCCTGTTTTGTGTTTGTGTGTGTTTTTATGCTTTGTACATTTGCATTGATCTTGCTGAACTATTAAAATATTGTTTGTTTTTTTCAATCCACAGATAAATATGCAGAGTTTGACCTGAACGATCAGGGGGATATCGGTAAGTGTATGTGTGTGCAAGTGTAGTTAAGTCTGAGTTTTAGTGAGGAAGGGCTCTTTTGTCATGCCCACTGTGTAGGTGATACCATGCTTGATAGATGGGAAACATGAGAACACACCTGTAATCAACCTGTAAACAGTCGCTGTCATGTGCTGTAGAAAGAGTAGGCGTGAGATATGGAGAAGTTGCTGTGTGCTGTAAATTTGCATCGTACAACGCGTTTCAGTTTCACTGTCAAAACAATATGGAATAGAAAATCAACATACTGATGAAAAAAATCACAATGTAGCAATTAAAAAATCTAATACAACTTTGTGACTGTAACCACAAAGTAGGAGGGGATAAAAAAGAATATTACTAATACTCTATCATAGATAGATAGATAGATAGATAGATAGATAGATAGATAGATAGATAGATAGATAGATAGATAGATAGATAGATAGATAGATAGATAGATGATCAGTAATAACATAATCACTTTTCACAATGCAATAAAATCTTCAAAAAAATAAATACAATAAATAATCCGTTCCTATTTTCCACTTCTTTTTCACTCAGAAATGCATTTCTATACAAATGACAGGCTTGCCAATATCAGATGTTGGAGGAAAGTAGCATAGGCCATCATTTCTGATTGTGAATCCAAACACCTGAAAGTTTGTGCCACAGAAATGAGGGTACTAAAGTAGATGATTCATGGTATACTTGCACAAATGTGTGGTTTGTGATTAGAAAGTATATTTATATGAGAGAGTGGGGTATACTCTACAATGTGGGACACAAAAATTGAATACACAAGGATAAAATAAGTATTTGAAATCTTTCCATTAATGCAAAAGATGTGGCCAGATAAACAGAGGCCGTTCTTTGTTTGGTGTTGAAGTGTCAGCCATGTGCCTGTTTCACACACCCAGCACATTACTAAAGTTTAAATGCATTTCTGTGTGAGGGGGTTGTGCAAAACTACATAACTAGACTGTTTTAAGTAAACTCTTTATAAATACTTTTTTTTTTAAATATATATGAAGAGTTCAGATGCAAAAGCCTCTAAATGCCATTTGAAATTTTCTTCTAGAATGATCATTTTTATCAAGCTTGTATATTTAAGTTCAGTGATTTCACTTAAATGGCAATGATAATTACCTATTAATTGTTATTTAAGTGAAATTACTGAACTTAAATATACAAGTTTGATAAAAATCATCATTAAAGAAGAAAATTTCAAATGGCATTTAGAGGCTTTTGCATCTGAACTCTTCATATATATATATATATTATGTTGACCGTGCTAATCTGTTAGCTAGAGGACACTTTTTATTTTTTATTTATTTTTTATTTTTTTTTATTAAACCATGTTTATCTTGAGACCACACTTCAAATCCATCTGCATGTGTATATGCCATGCAGTCCTTCAAAGGGGTCAATGGCAGATATTCATAAAATATTTGGACTAAATAATGATGGACAACTAGTCAACCATGCCATCTTTATTAGAGATCTATCTATCAAGCTGTGAGTCTATGTGTTGTAGTTCTCTGTTGGTATGATGGTGTTTGTGTGATGGCTGTTTGTGTTTCCTTGCCAGACATGATGGGCATGAAACGAATGATGGAGAAGTTGGGTGTGCCCAAGACTCACCTGGAGATGAAGAAAATGATCTCGGAGGTGACAGGGGGCGTCAGCGACACCATCAACTACAGGGACTTTGTGAAAATGATGCTTGGCAAGCGATCAGCTGTTCTCAAACTGTAAGTGTGTGTGTGTTTTTGCGATTGTTTTTAATATTGGCAAATGTCATTATTGGACTCTCCTGCTTTAACTGAGTCCAGCTATTTTTAGATATGTTGACGTGTGTGTGTGTGTTTAATCTTGTCAGCACATCCAGTGCAGGATCAGCATATCTGTGCCATTATCTCTCAGTGGGAGAGGGATCTGCTGTGACAGGTGATGTCATCATCATGAGACACTAGGGGTTGAATCAATACCAGAAATTTGGCCTTTGTACCTCAATATCAATACTAAGTCGATACCTAAGGCAATAACTAAAGGGCCTTGAGTGACTGTTAAATTTAAATTGTGGCTGTCAATTATTAATATTGGAATTATCAAATGAAATGGAAAAAAAACATACATTGTTTTGGTGGTCTTTTTGACAAATGTAAATGCCTTTGTAAAAAATGAGGGATGCTTCGATCAGGATTTTTGCAACGGATACCGACTACCAATTTCTTTTCATCATGCAGATCATCAGCTCTGTTGACTGTCACTGTTAACCCCTTGCATTTTTAATTATTTAATGTGTAAGTGGCCTACTTACTAGAAAAAGGATATCAAGTACATAGTCTCATTTGATAGAAAACCTTTAACATTTTGAAGAAAATATATTTTGATCCTTTTTAGCGGTTCTGTGTGTTACAAAACTGCGAAGAAACCCCTAGAAAAAGTGACGCAATTTATTGATTCATAATGTTATTCACACTTGATTATTAGAAAGTATTTCTTGTCATCAAGTTGTTCACACAACAATTGCATCTGGGCCAAATGTTGTGTTGATATCTGACAGCAATCAAAAGTTACACGGCATTTGGAACCAGGGTAGCCTTTTTATCAAAAGTCCAAAAACCTTTCCAAACAACCAAAAAAAATCTGAAGTTACATGTGTAAATGCCACTAAGAATAACATATTTATAATTGCATATAAATAACAAGTATAAGATCCTGGTTGACCTTCCAGTGCTGTTTCAAAAAGATTTTTTTTTTCACCTGGACACAGTAACATTTGTGTGCACACACACACACACACACATCTTGTTGGGTGGGGTTGGAGATACAGCTGAGCTATCCCTAATTATAGCTGTTAATTACACAAGTTTAGATGTTGTCCAAGTTGGCACGGTCTCAGTCGAAGCGAGGAACAAAACGTTCAACTTCTTGTTTTATTTTTATTTTTTTTGTAAAAGACATGGTTGTAGTTTAAAGTTGTCTGCGACAAACACTAGTTTGTGCCAAGTTTCATGATTCATTGAAACCATCTTAACCCTATAGGCACCATGCTTGAGTTTACTCGACAAGATGTGGCACTGAATAAAACGGCGGATTTTGTCAAATTGGGTGTCAAATTTCATTCGACCTCCCCTCCACTGGATGGCAGACATGTCATACTTCATCCCAGACTCCAAAAAACGTCATGCTTCCATACAAAATGTTCATGTTATAGCGCATTGAATCAGTGCGATCAAGAGCGTAGCTAGTGTGCGAGTGAGTCATTTTATCAGAGCCTTTTCGTAATCGCCGTGATTCGCGGCGACAGTATTGTGGTGGAGACTTGGTCTAATTCTTCTGGGTATGTTAGATGAGGTCAAAGTATTCATTGGACAGTTAGGGGGCAAGATGGAGGCAGGGTGGGTAATCACAATGACAGTAGTCTGAGTTGTGCACACTCGGCTTGAGGCAGATCTGGCCACGCTGCTCGCATCATCTCACTCATGATCTGTGCCTTGCCATGGCGAGTGAGCTCTTGTGTTTGTATTTAGTAAATGGAAAATCTCTACAGCAAAAGCCCAACCACTACATGCATTCGGTTTGTTTCGACCATTTATTAGTAATAGAGCCAGACCGATTTATCGGCAGGCCGACATTAGGCATTTTCCAAACAAATATTTGTATCGGTATCAGCCTTCAAAATCCTTTATCGGTCGGGCTTTAATTAATAATGATTTACACAATTTGTTTACTACTTAATATGTACCTGAGCATTCAGTATTGTGCAATAAAGCATACAGAAGGTGATGGACATTTTGGCGGGAAAGAGGAAGTGCTGCATTTGATCATTTAAACGTGACTTTTCATGAAAATTCTATAATCCAAGATTTCCGCCACCATATCACGTCACCCCTACATAAACTTTGGGTCATCTTTAATATTTCTGTAATTTACAGAATGTCTATCTTTTATCACTTTAAAGATGTCGCCTTTGGAAATTAAGATGTCAAAATGGAATGTTTTCGGAAAAAAACTCTGGCCTAAAGGGTTAAACCGTTTTCACAAGGCCTTTTAGTGGACACACAGACTGGAGTTTAGAAGTCTCTCACACAAAAGTGCTCAGATTTGAGAATTATAGTAGAACATGCTGTTGGAACAGCCATTGGAGGTGCTATGGTGTATGTTGTATCACAAGTAAATACCCATAGCAGAGTTAAATTAAACCGATAAGATTGTGGTAGACATGGTGAAGAATGCGGGCAACATTTAGCAGATTGTATAGTTAAGGATTACACAAAGGAATCCTGTTTGAACCATTTTATAGTGCATCAGGTGGATGTTGGTATGCGTGACATTTTGAAAATGAATTGAATACCTCTCTTTGGTAAACTGCACAATTTTGTGAATTCTGCACAATCAGGTGAATTATGTGCTGAAGTTGTTCAAATCCTATTATCCTGAATGGGTGATTTGTGACTAGCTGTTAGTTGACTTGGGGCTTGTTAAGGGCTTATGAGAGATTTTCAAGGTTTACCTAAAACAGAAAGTCACATGGTCAGCAGTTCTTCAACATCACGTTCATCACTTTTATCTCGTATCTCCAAAACACCAGGGTTTTGTCTTATCCAGGCTTTGTGGCTCCTCGAGCTGGTCCAGATTCTTTTCTCTTGCAGTGCAATTATGATCTCTAGCTTTCGTTGTTTTGCTCAGTGGGAAGCTGTGATTACTTTTAGCCAGTGGTGGACACAGAGTGGACATCACAATGCATTTTAACTCCCTATGTGTGGTGTTCTTAAATATCTGTAGTTAGACATAGAAGCCTTATGTGCCTATCATACATGGTCACCTTTGTGATGGCATGTTTTATTATATCTAAATCACAGTTGACTTAATAGTGTTAAGTTATTATACATATTCAATTGATAATCTAAACAAGCTTTTAAAGCTAAGTTTAAGGAGCCTTTTTTTTTGGTTTTCTGACAGACCAGAAGTTAATGGACACACTTACATTCATTTGTAGTGGTTGGGAGATTAAACCTGCACATAAAACTACTTGAAAATCTAACGGCTTAAATAGTTTACCATAAATGTTTCTAATATGTTGACATTTAATTTTTCCACTTTTTTTCCAGTTCTGATTACTCCTAGGTGCCAAGAGGAGTTAATTTATTTAAATGCATTGTGCAAAGTTTGCCTATAATATATATCTACATCCTTGTTCTGGAATATTTTCGATCTGATGGTTGAAATTGAATTACTTTCCTCTTTCCTTACTTTCCTGAAGAAATTTCCTCTTCTCTCCTACAGGGTTATGATGTTTGAAGACAAAGCCAACGGAAGCAGCTGTAAACCTGATGGACCCCCACCCAAACGTGACATCACCAGCCTACCATAGAGCAGTGAAGCTACATTTCGCAAATCCCGCCCATTTACCATTAGGTGCTAGGTTTCTATAGCCTTACCTAGAATCTTTTTGCCAAGATCCAGGGAAATCTTAGTTCATAGGTGGGAAAAAATGAAGGGAAAAAAAGGTGAAAGATGTCTATATATTTGCTGTGAAGAAGTTGAAGCGCAAAGTAGCTTTTTATAAGTAAACAAATGTATATATTTATATGAAGCCACAGTTTTTTATATATATATATATATATATATATAGTGTTTACAAGCACAAATACTGTGGTTGAAGTACTAGTGAAGTGTAGTGTGTAACACTGCGTACAGTGTACTAAGTGTAGTGTGTATGGGATGACAATTTTAGCTTGCAAGATAGGTTTTAATTAAGATTGAGAATTAAGATTTTCCGTGTTCCCTTAAATGTTTTTTTTTTTTTTTTTTTTTTTTTTTCATTTCATTTCAATATGTTTATGTTTGCCATTTCAGTCTAATCTGCATTTTGGTAACTCTGCTCACCTTGTCCTATAGTGTGACAGTAGATGTGCGTGAGAATTCAGTTAGTGCTCAGCCAGAAACTTCTTCCCAAGACACGGGGATTGAGTCTTCAAACTCTGTTTCTTGTCATCCTGTTTGTTGGTCCATTGACTGTAATCTATAACATCATTGTATTATATAAGCAATACACGCATATTGTTCTGACACTTTGAATCACACTTTTAGGCAAGCTTTTATACTTGTTCCTGCTTAAACTGGTAATGATGTTGTAGGAAGGAGGTGCCACTGATCACAGCTTTTTAGATCTTTAGGAGGGTTCGTTTTAGTCACTATATCAGATTAGTTTGAAACCACTCTTTCCAAGTGCCTCACTCAGTTTAATGTAGCAGAGGTTTTGAGTGAAGATTGAGTGAAGCATCTTTGAAATGGATTTTGTGTGTGTGTGTGTGTGTGTGTGTGCTTGGAATTTATTCTGTCGAGTCGTTTTTGAGACATTCCAAGAATGTCGTTGTGTGATGTAGTCCTTGCTTTGAAATGTTGTCATGTTTTTAACCCAAGGAAAAATGTTGTGGAGTTCTGATGCAAATAATCCAGTAGTGCTTTTGTCCTGTTTTATTTTCCACTGGCCTCATCAAGTTTTGTTTGTAATGTAAGATGTGCTATGTAAGACAAAATGACCTCGAGAGGTTTTTTTTGTTTTGTTTTTTAATTAAGAGACAAGTCGGCAGTAGCAGTTGTGGCTTTCACTTCCATTTTAGATCTGCAAACAAAGCAAGTTTTATTTGTCTCTCTCACATCGTTTCTGTAGGTTTTTTTGTCTATGCCTCTGTTTAAGTTTATTTCATTTTCATTTTCCTCTTAAAATCAGTGAAGTGTAAATTGATGACTGCACTGAATTGCTATTTATTAGAAATTGATTTTTAATGAGAAGTTTTCTGTCAGCATATTAATTAGCAGAGATTCATTTTTTTTATTTTTTTTTGCAAACACCAAAGGAAGTAAATACCCTACTGTTACACCTGAACTTATAGTGGATCTCTTTTATTTCTCTATCTCTCTGGCTGTGTGTGTGTGTGTGTGTGTGTGTGTGTGTGTGTGTGTGTGTGTGTGTGTGTGTGTGTGTGTGTGTGTGTGTGTGTGTGTGTGTGTGTGTGTGTGTGTGTGTGTGTGTGTGTGTGTGTACACAAAAATTCTCCTCCAAAGTTGTGCAAAATGTGACATCTCCCTTTGTAGACATTCAGGGATGTCTTGATTTAGGGTTTTTGCTCTTGTCTTTCATAATACTAAAATTGCAAGTTTTCTTTTAGGGTAGAGTTTACTTTCTGTTGACATGATAGCAGCCTGGTACACTGCGTTTTTTGCAAGACTTTTTGCAGAGTAATATTGTGAAATATTATAACAGTTTATAACTCTTCTCTGTTTGAATAATTTATTTTCCTGTGATGGCAAAGCTGAATTTTCAGCATTATTACTCCAGTCTTCAGTGTCACATGATCCTTCAGAAATCATTCTAATGTACTAATTTGATGCTCAAGAAACATTTAATTAATATCGATGTTGAAAACGTGTGCTGCTTATTATGTTTGTGAAAACCGTTACCAATTCAGAACTTATTAATTCGACATTTATTTGAAATAGAAATCTTTTGTAACATTATAATTGTCATAACTGTCACTTTTGATCAATTTAAAGCATCCTTTCAGAATAGAACAGGGTTCCGATTTAGTTTAGAAAATTATGGAATTTAAGTGATTTTTAGTTCTGGAGAATAATGAATAAACGTTTCCAGACTATTCAGTTTTCTAAAATATAAAATTAAGAATTTTGAACAAATTATTAAACCGTTTTCATGTCACAGGTTTAATGATCGTCAAACACAGACAATTTCATTATGCATTATTGTCTTGTGTGTGTGTGTGTGTGTGTGCGTTCATGTTTATATTACATTGTGTGGACCAAATACCCCCACAAGTATAGTAAAACCTGAAATCACCTGTGGTCCCCATGAGGAAAACAGCGTATCATACCAAGTAATGTTTTTTTTTTTTTTTTTTTTTTTTTTTTTTTGAAAATGTAAAAATGAAGAGTTCAGATGCAAAAGCCTCTAAATGCCATTTGAAATTTTGTTCTTTAATGATGATTTTTATCAAACTTGTACATTTAAGTTCAGTAATTTCACTTAAATGGCAATGATAATTGCCTATTAATTGTTATTTAAGTGAAATTACTGAACTTAAATATACAAATTTGATAAAAAGCATCATTAAAGAGGAAAATTTCAAATGGGATTTAGAGGCTTTTGCATCTGAACTCTTCAAATGCAGAATGTTTCCTGTGAGGGGTAGGTTTAGGGAAAGGGGCAGGGTAAGGGGATAGAATATACAGTTTGTAGAGTATAAAAACCATTAAGCCTATGGAGAGTCCCCACAAAGATGTGTGTGTGTGTGTGTGTGTGTGTGTGTGTGTGTGTGTGTGTGCACCACTCAAACCAGCAACAGGTGAAGGAGCAAACAATCATTTCAATCAGGCTTTACTGTTTGTTGATCATGCAACTTCAAACAATGACTGCAATATCAAACCGATGTGGCTAGAACAAATGTTACAGTAGTCATATCAGTGGTCATAACACAAAATGTTTTTTTGTTTTTTAATGTACAGAGCTTTTGTACAGCATTTTGTTGCAAAGGGTTTTAAACCTGCCCCTGAAGGGCCACTGTTTGAGTCCTGCAGAGTTTGACTCACCCATGACTTAGATGTACAGTATGAACAGACAGAAGCCATAATAAACCACATAGGTTTACACAAACACGTCATGCTCATAAATAACTTGTGTACTTCAGCTGTAGCCTGTGAAACTTGCATGTATGATCTCAACCATGTTCAAAAATATGCTGTACTTGTGGGTATGGTAATGGTCACAGGATGATATTAGTTAATATAGTTTGTTTGTTCCACCATACTTTGTTTAAAATAAACAATGTCCACACACACCACAATGCATGCATGGCGATAAAAAAAAATTGGAACTACAAGAAAGGAATTTAAACACATATTCCTCATTTTGCTTTGAATTAAAACAAACTAAACTACTTCACTTATGTTTTTGTAAACATTTTGAAAAACAGAAGTTAATTTTGGGGATTTTCCAGAATAGTGATAATGACCTTTTCATTAGAGTAAACCCAGTCCAGCTCACTTCCTCATAGACTTCTGTTTTGCAGATTCTAGGCAGAAGTGGCCTTGTTCATACCCACAATACAGTTCTTTATACAGCTTATCGTATCCGTTTCTAAAAATTTCTAAAGAGAGAAGGTCCATATCCTTCTCTTTCTGTATTGATCTTTGTTCCACATTCTGCCTGAGACAACATGAATTAAAAAAAATCATCTTATTTCTTGTAATCTGGCAGAAATAACAAAAGCAAGCACAGACTGAAGTTCCACATTACCGCATATGAAATTATCAGTATTGAGTGGCTGTACTCGTACTGTCCTACTGGTAGTAAGTTGAACAGGCTTAAAGGGTTAGTTCACCCAAAAATGAAAATTCTGTCAGTATTTACACAAAGGAAAATATTTGAAAGAATGTTTTAATCAAACAGACCTCATTCCCCATTGACATAGTATGTATTTTTTCCTACTATGGTATAGTCAATGGGGAATGAGATCTGTTTGATTAAAACATTCTTCCAAATATCTTCCTTTGTGTTCAGCAGAACAAATAAACACATATAGGTTTGGAACAACATGAGGGTGAGTAAATACTGACAGAATTTTCATTTTTGGGTGAACTAACCCTTTAAACTAGTGTCATAATGAACTGTGTTGCTCCCTACTGGGATGAAATGGTAAAGCACAGCATTCGGTGGGGCACGAGAGATTACATTTGTTTAATGGTTGGTTTCAGGTTTTAATGTATATATTTAAATTTTTATGTGACTGCAATACAAAATGATTTGCTTGTTATTATTACTCTTGTAGCCTATAGATTAGGGGCCCGTTTCAATAAGGAGGTTCAACCAACTCTGAGTTAAATCTTGAACTCTGAGTTGACTTACCCTGAGATGGGAAACTCTGAGTTTTCGGTTACAGAACAGCTGAAATGAGTTAGTTCAATCAACTCTTGAGTTGACTGACTCTGAGTTAAGCGCGTGCACAACAGCTATAAAAAGCCAATGGAGCGCAGATATTATGAGTCACCATGGCAACAGCGCCAGACAAAAAGAGGTGTTGGGTATAATTAATTACCAAGTAATCTAAATATTGTAATTTAATTAAAGGAATTACTCTTAATTCTTCTTTAATTTAAAATAAAATATGATGCAATTACATTAAATAGGCTACTGCATAAACTATAGACCAATTCAGTATAAAACAATAGTGGATTTAGCATACATTTTTAAAAGGTATATTTTTATATAACCTTCTCCCTCTACACACTTTGATCAATTCAAGAATAATTCATGCAATTGTATTGTTAATTTGAAAGCATTAAAAGTGCAGTTTCTTGTCTCTCCTCCTTGTATTAATCAAGTGGTTGAGGTTGATATAGGATTTAGTAATATGCAGACCAATACTTTCTAGAGATAGTAATTATTACATTAATCTAACTACACCGTTGAAGATGTCATTTGTTGTTAATAATTCATAACTATTTTAGAGTAACTGTTATAATATCAGAGGTGAAACTGGAAGAATGTTATTCAACCTAAAGTAGTCTACTATTACTTTGATACATTTTTACTTAAGTAAAAGTAAAAATTCCAGAAAAAATCTTCTCAAGTAAAAAGTAGTTAATTTAAAACATAAGTAAAAGTTGCTGAGTAACTTGTTTAACAGCGGGGGTGGGGTGGGGGACTCCCCCATGTGGGGTTGTAACGTAGGCTATGAGAGTTTCACACCGTCTCAGAAAATATCACGGTTTATGGTATTAAACAATTGTTAAATATATAAACTGCATTATTAAATTACGGTTATTATTTTCATCAGTTAAAATGATAGTTAAATAAAAGAAACATTTGTTCAATAAAACATATCAACTAACTTCAATAATTGATTATGATTATGATTGACATCTTATTTTTTATCATTAATAACTTATTAAATTTGATTACAATTTTTTCAATGATTTAATAGAAATATATTATCCAAAACAGTAATCAAATAAAAGTTTAGCAAATGTTTTAATCCTTTTATTTTTTTTATTTGATGCTCGTTCCGGTTGTGTAGATTAAAGCAGAGGAAAACCGGAGAAAACGGTATTATGGCAGAATCTTCAATATTTACTGTCCTCCCGTCTTTGAAGCGAAACATAGGCTACATACGTTTAGATGTAATTTTATATATAGTTATGTTTATTTAATATAATTTTTTTTTAAAAAAAAAGCATAAACACAACGAGGGGTGTCTGTTTTATCTGTTTTTGTGACTATCGTTTAATTAGTATAACCATGGAGTATAAAATTCAATATAAATTCTCGGTATTGCATTGGACTCTATGATCGGCGGAAGTTATCGAGCATCCTTAATCCTTCACCGGAAATAACGCCGTGCATAGAGCCCATTACATTTCTGCCGAATATTCAGCTGATGGACACCGTGCTGCGTTGTCATGGGAACATCTTTCACCAACTGCGTCACAAACGGCTACATATAGTGGCTAGAAAGTGCCCTCCAAAGTCCCCATTAAAAAGCTCTGCCCTAGACAGTGAAGGGAGTGGGGCATAAGGATATTACCACTTCCGTAACCCCGGAACATCTTTCCCTTCATTCATGTTTCTAACGGACGTATTTACAGATGCAACAACACATGTGCGTCCAATAACTGTCACCGACTGGAATGAATCTAAATAAAGAATTTGAAAACTACCAGTTAACAGCGTTACGTGCTGTCAGTTGGAAACAGAAAATATATGATTTTTTTTTTCGTGTCCTCAGTGATGCCCGACCCATCCGTCCAAGGGCTACGATTAATTAAATATCAAATCCGATCTCAACGTGACTTCGATAAAGCACAGCAGTCATC